GAGGCCGGATGACAGCGGACACTACAAGCACACGAAACAAACAAAGGAACAGAACGACCGCCGCCCAAGTGCTACCACCAGCCAAGACCGGCCCCAACATCAGCACCAGCGCCAGCGGACCAAGGAGCAACCGTCAGCCACCAGCAGTGGACAGACTCAAAAGCACACCTGCCCGGTTCCCGACTGCGGAAAAGAGTTCTCCCTGAAAGGCAACCTGGTAAGGCATGCAAAGGAGGCCCATCATCGGGGCGACGGTTCCTCAGGATTCACCTGTAAAACCTGCGGCGAAGCATTCACCCGGAACGCCAGCCTTCACCGTCATGAAGAACATCACGACACCGGCCGCAGGCCCCTCCCTCATCCATATCCAGTCTCCATGCCAGCTGCTCCCCCCACCGAACCCAGCGACCTCCCTCTACCACCGGAACCCACCCTGGAGCTCCTTCCACCCCCTTGCACACCCCCATCGACCGCAACATCCGGTGGTCATCCCAAGACAGGGGGGAAATCATTAAAGTTGCTGCGGCAACTGCAAACAGAGAGCACAAGAATCAGCTCGTCGACTGAGAGTGAGGAGCCGGAGGAGGGGGAGGGGATCGAGGCAACTACCACCATCAAGGTATTCCGCGGTGGCATCCTCTTCCACCAAAAACAGTCCAAGACCGTTGTGGACATGTAATTAAACCCTAGTTATTTAAGTTGAAAAGTTTACCCTTGAGAAAGTTTTTGTTAAAGCTGACCATAGAATTTTGGTAGTCAAAAACAAAGAAAAAAAGGAAAGTGATATTCAAAGATTTGTTGAAATATAAGGATCAAAAGGCCATGAGCTATGTTTTCGTATTTATTGATGTAAGAACATATTGGAAAAAGAGAAGAATTGTTCAAACCTTTATAAGTTTAACGTTAAAAGTTAGTGTAACCGAGTTTAAATTTTAAAGTTGTAACTTGTTCGATGTGTTTAGTATTAACCAAGTTTATACTCAAAGTTATGACGGCATACATGTACAATTTTAATAATCCACTGAATCAGCTAAAGCGATTGTTAGGCGTACAAAACAAAGGATGTAACTGGAATAGGAACATTTTCTGTTTTTAGTTTTCATTTGAAGCAAAGTGAATAACATTGTAAAATTAACAATTTCAGGGACTGAAAAGTCTGGGGGAGGGTCATGTGACAAATCACGAACTACACGTTTTATATTAGTCTCCCTTATCTCAACTGTATGAGCCAAATAGCACTGTTAAGTGGGTGTGTCTTTAGTCACCTACTGAAATCTGATGGGTCAAATCCTTTTGTATTGAGTAAAGCACACGTGTACAAGATTATAGGGATGTTGGCCTATAAAAGGCAGAGCTGATGAAATAAAACTCACTTCCTGATCAGGTGGGGCCGAAGAAGTCAAACCAATCTCCTGTGCCTAATTTATTGTTGATTGTCTAATTAATTATACTCGGTTAAAGGGTGTGGTCCACAGTGATCCACATTAAATCCACCCGTGATCCACCCAAATCCACCCGAATCCACCCAATCCACAGTGATCCACCCAATCCACTAGGTCACCCCGCCCCCAAATCAAACCGCAAGTAATCCACACTACCACTGAGGCAGAGAAGGGCTCAACAAGAAGTATCCCGGAGCTGTGGCATTCAACCGCAGGTGCTGACGTCATTAGACCTGGCAGGGCTAGGGAAACCGATTGGCTACGCACGTTACACTGTGATTTAATTTGCTTGATTTGAGAAGTTTCTTTTGATTTGCCTAAGTCAAATTCTGTTTTGTCATCTTCAGAGAAACCCTGAATTCTTTGGATCGTTCTTAAGTTGAGTTCTTGAATTGTGGAAGATCCTCTGATTTAATTTGATTATTTTGTAGATATTCTTGTAAATATTCCTCTTCTTTTTTTCATTTGATTTTTCTTTAAAATAAAATTGTGCTTTTGCTCTTGAAGTTAAAATCAAATCCGTTTATGTTTGCCTTATTTACTGAGTTGAAGACAGAACTATCCCATTTATCTAAGGTCTTGAGAAAATACTTGACAGTTGGTGATTAGTACATTATGTCATCCATGAGCTGCACAAAAGCAATGTTGCAGTTTGTTAGACTCGGTTATAGGTTGGACAGAAACGTTTTTGTAATGATTGCTTTTTTTTTGTTTAGCCGACAGCACAGTGATGCTTAAAAGTGCAAAGTTTGACCAACTTTCTGAAAAAGGCGGGGAAAATCATGCCACTCATAAGCGTGCAACTGTGCATGTACCTGTGCTTGGCTGGGGATTTTCATTTTATAATTTAAGTTGAGGAGCTGTGAGATCAATATTTTCATATTGATCTCACGGTTCTTATAGACAGTTTTTTTTATTGATTGTCCCCCTTTTAACCAAGTTTTTCACGCAAAAAAAACCTTCCACAAGAAGTAGTAAACATTTTTATGAATAATAAGGAAGTTTGAAAGCTTTCTTATATTTTCCAAGCAGTTTTTTTTCAAGGACTTAACAACTTTCTGTGAATGAAACCTGTTAAACGTTTTCCATGAGACTGAAATATAGTTGTCTTAAAATAGTTTTACCTATATAGTACCGAAGTGTAGTGCAAATGAATGGAGTACGTACGCGTGTTGGTTCATGGGCTGAATCACACGCTAATGTCTTTTACACACAAATTTTGCTTGTGATGTATTCACTTCGGTACTCTATAAATGGTGGTTAATGACTGTCAGAGTTGCCTGTATTTCTAGTCCTAGTCTTATTCCTCCATGGTGGAAATAGGAAAGTCTGCGGTTGTTACATAAGCCATGGTCGGAATGTGAAAAGGGTGTGTGCTCTTTGTTATGCATGAGTGATTTTCTTTGTTGCATGAGTGTGTGAGCTAGGAGGAGGAAAAGCGCGCGTTTCAGACAGACACGAGATCCGTGTGGTGAAAGCAACATCAGCGCCGGGTGGATTACCGTTTCGTCACAGTACCACCTTCGGTGTGTTGCGAGCCGTATTTTCTATGTAGAAAATCAAAAGCCTGTTTTGCTGACCGTAAGTTTTTCCCTTAATTATTGTGAATATATATATTCTCTGATGTTTTCAATAAGGAAAAGAAGGTAGAATTATCCTCATGGTGTTTTCATGCCTGAAGTTAACACTCACAGTTATGTATGTTAGCATTCCAGTTTCAAGTGGGCCTTTTAAAGCTAAGTTGGGTATTTATATTGATCTGGCAACGGAATACTTTAATTCTTGTTGCATAGATGGCTTTTTGGAGCAGGGTTTGACCATACCCACTTCAAGTGCACTAGAGGTGCTAAAGAGTGGCCAAGAGAGGGCGCTATTGACGGTCACAGGACAAAATGGCGCAGACGCTACCTGGACCATACTGATTGCGTGAAGCAAGTGTGAAGCGACCCTGGGCCCTAGCGGAGTTGTGGTTTCCAAGCTCAGTCACCGCTGTATTACTACCCCAGTCCTGAAGATTGTAGCTAGACGGTGGGACCAAGCACTAGGTTGGTGTGGGAGTAGAACTCCCCCCATATCCTTCGGGAGTACAGAGACTGAACACTTCAACCGCAAGAATGATCAGCTGATCAAGAGATCAGAAGAGATCAGATATGACATGTACTGTTGATTAAAAGTGGGCAAATATTTACCTGGTGGTGGGTTTCAAAAGCAGTAAATTGTTGTAGGCCTGAAGGACGGTTGAACCCTAAAAGCTTACTTTTCTGCAAATTCTATAATTGTGATTGTACTATAACATTTAACTTGTAAGTTGTTTCATATATTCGCCAGGAACCAGTGTATTACTAGGCTGAAATCCAAGGTATGTACCTGACTGGAGTCACTCAAGCTGACCTGCATGTGCATGTACTATTTACTTGATTTGTGTATAATTACTGTTTGTGATAATTAACTTGGAGTTAATAGATTTTGCTTTATTTGTTCTGTTGCTTAATTTTAAGACTTGCATGGTGCATGCTTGGTTGAGAGTTGTTTTTGCATAATTCAAGATTTTGCATGGTTGCATGAAAGTTACTTGGTGGACATGGGCGTCGCCAGGATTTTTTCTAGAGGGGGGCAAAAAGGCAAAAAATTGTTTGCCAAAAAATGCTTGTATTTCTCAACACATTTTCGATTTATCAGTTTTAGAGGGGAGCAGGGACATTTTGCCCCCCCCCCCAACTCATTAAATTTACACCACTTTGTCTTCGCGCCTCTTTGTCTTTTCTTTTTCTTGTTTTTTCTTCCTTTATTTTGGTTTTTTTTTGCTTTTCCAGGGGGGGGGGGGGCAAGTGCCCCCCCCCTTGCCCCTCCTCGCGACGCCCATGTTGGTGGACTTTCATTGAAGTTATTATTTGGTTGATTGGTTTTTGTGTATACCTATATTTTGGTCTTGGTTACTTGTATATATATATTTTTTGTTATTTTTTTTTCTAGTTCATTGTAATAAATAAGTGCATATTTGTTATTTATTTAATCCTTTTGTCTGGTGTGGAATAATTGTGTGCATCACCTTGGGTGGGCTAACGACCCTTGTTTAAATTATTTTTTCTTTTTTTCCTTTGCTTGCTGCATTCGCCCATGACAATGACAGTGGTGCCTCCAGGATTTGGCTGTGGGAGGGGGCTCACAATTTTTTGTTACAAGTTAAAAAAATTTCAAAAAATGTTGCCGAAAATTTTTGGCCGCAGAAAATATATTTAGTTTGATTATTTTTTTTTGGGGGGGGACTGACTATTTATTTTGATGTTGGTGGTGCCATTGACACCCCTGTTATACTACTCGAAAATATGCCCCACATACATATCACCACTTGACCAAAAAAATTGGCCTAAAAGAAACATAAATAAATAAATAAATTGATAACCCCCCTGAGGACCCCTTGGGTGCACCACTGGTTAATGAATCTATGCTAGAATCTAAAGCAGTGTCGCCAGTTGTGCAAAAATTGTGGTGATATACTTTGAAGATTCGTATCCTATTTTTTTTCAACAAAATTATTTTTGTTGATATGTTGTGTAGTATCTCCTAAAGAGCCATTTCCCGATGTAACTCAATGCACTGAACGTATCTCCGAGACTGCGTGCGAAGCAGTCTTGCCGAATGACATCGAGAAACCAATGCTGACCTGCATCGTACGGGATGCCAAGCCTGCCGTGGCTCTCCGATGGCTGCTGGAGAATAGTGATGGCGGCACACAACTCATCAGCGACAGGTTCACCGTACAACCGAGTAAGTACAGGGTTGCTGGATCAGAGGGTGTCCCACTCCCTGGTCCCCGTAACATGGGAATGTATAACATAAGCCGGCTGTAAATTCTTGTTGCATGTGTTTGAATTGAAAAACTTTGCACAAGCCATTTTCTTCATAATTATGTCACGGGGCTTATATCGATCTCCTTTCATTTGGTTTCATATGAAAGTGTGATACCAAGGTTAAGGCCCGATTTCACGAAGCTGTATAAGTTAAGGGAAAAACTTTCTCAAGATTTTCTGTACATGTAAGACATTTTCCAAGCATGGTCTACATGGCTCTCAAAATGTCCTGATTTGGCTCATAGTTGCTGTTTGCCTGTCATTCGCTGCCAATGTTGGTTTGGTAATTGCTGTGTGCAAGGTAAATTGGGGCTCGGGCCATCTATGTACCCGTATCTGTATTTTTGAAACATTTCTTGCTTAGCAAGCTCATGCAATTGGCTTCTGATCTTAGCTAGAGAAATAATAACCACTGCTTTTTCTGGTGTATTTTAGGTGAGTATTCAGTGAACACCTTCACCACTTCAGCATCAATCCCAATTGTAGCGAGTGACGTGGACACAATGTACAGATGTCAGGCATACGGGGAGGCGCTGGGCGCCAGGAATGGTAGCCACGTGACGGTGACTGTCACCACAGCTCACCGTACCCTGCAAACACCACGTGAGCATGGATATTTATTGTTCCAGTCTAATTCTACAAATCTGTTTGGTAGAAATTCTGCTGTCCCTGCTCTACACGCCTAGACTCATAGAACACCCTTTGTAGTTTCCTATACTATCCGCCAAATTATCTGCCCAAAAATGACTGCTGTCAATGACATATTTATTTTTTTATAAAACAAATAAATACATTTTCCCTGATATTTCCTTTCCTGAATTACCCCTATTTTTCTCCCTGACAAGTAAAATCAATCCGTTCAAATTTTTCTTTCTCTTTTAACTTTTTGTTTTCTAATCTATTGCATGCATATATAGTGCTTATAATGTACGATGGGATTTGAAATAATATTCATGGAAGTACAAGTAGCTTGTGTGGTACACAGCCTTTGTTTGACATTTCAAATCATTGTTCTATTCATTAATAGTTTTGGTTAAAATGCTTCGGAATGCTATGGCTTTTCTAAAACAAATCCCATTGTAACGAATGGTGGCGCGGTTAATGCTTTGTAATTAAAAAAGAAGAAGTATTTTTTTCACTTGCCTATGCCGCATAATTGATGCCATGCAAGATTAATGATTTTTTATGGTATCATTCAGGTGCTTTAGTAAAAATATGCCTTCATAAGAACTTTTTAAGACCAATGTGGGACTGACCCAAAGTTCCTGTTCTATCAAATGGAGGTCTTATGGGGTAAACTTACATTGCCAAAACTGCCCTACGAGTTGTACTGGACAACGACCATATTTAAGGGTAATATGCAACAATTACTCTTTTGCTTTATACATTTGTTCCGCGGTTAATTTCCACCATTGTGTTCTCTAGAACGTGAGGACTGATTCATAGCTTTTAATAAAATCCACTGGTATATATTATCCCAATCATAGTTGTTTCTGTGGTGGCTACTGGCATCCAAGCAAGTAGTAACGAGGGTGGAACCATCTTCCTGGAGCGAGGCAACCCTGGCATTCTGTCCTGTGCGCCTGTCGCATCCGGGCAAATCCCGCTGAATCAGATCGACGGCATGCGCTGGTACTTCCGCCAAATACGAGAAGAAAACCTCTTGATCTCCTACTTCCTAAAAAAAGTCACTTTACAAAACGGCATCCCGGAGGGCGTGTATGGCATCAACGGAAACTTCTCTCTGGTTATTGAGAATGTCACCGACTCAGATGAAGGGACCTACTACTGTAAGGTCACTGATAGGGGGAAAAAAGCGCTAGTCAATGGGAACGTGACTATGCATGTCAAAGGTGAGTGGGTTGGTGATTAGTGAATAAATTTATGGACAAAAGCAATTTTGCACTTCGTTTGACTCAGTTATAGCTCCAGTTTTTTAACCAATTTTCTGAAGTGTGGAAACATTCAACGAAATGATAATTTCTTTTAACCTCACAGCCCAGTTGGTGTTTAGAAGTCAACTCTTGACAAATTCTTGGAAAAAAGCTGTGCCTTTGCATGTGCTTGGCTCGGAATTTTCTTTTAATTTGTTTCAATTCAAATAATGATCAGTTATTTCCATATTGATCTCACGGTTCTTGTAAACTGTTATTTGTTATTGTCCCATTTTCTATAAGTGTTATGCACACAAAAACAAAATACAATGCAAATGAATGATTAAAAGAATAACAAAGTCTGAAAACTATGTTTTTTATTTGTATTATCAAAGATTGTTTTTTAGAACTAGTAGCTTTCGCCCATGAAAAGCTTTAAAGTTTTCCATGACAGCGGTATAATAGTTGTTGGTTGATAATGGTTTTAAATTTAACTACTGCTGGTTGATGAACTACATTTATGTTAGAATCTGAAGTAAGAAATGGTGCTAGCAGTATCAACAGTTGTTATCTTATGAAAGATTGCGATGACACTTTGAAGCTTCGTATCCTAATTTTTTTCAGCAATTTTATTTGTGTTGATATGTTGTGTAGTATCCCCCAAAGAGCAGTTTCCCGACATAACTCAATGCACCCAACGTATCTCCGAGACTGCGTGCGAGGCTGAGTTGCCGAACGACATCAAGAAACCAAGGTTGACTTGTATCGTACGGGATACCAAGCCTGCCGTGGCTCTCCGATGGCTGCTGGAGTATAGTGACGGCGACACACACCTCATCAGCGACAGGTTCACCGTACAACCGAGTAAATATAGGGTTACTGAATCTCAGGTGCCCCACTCCCCCATAAGATGGGAATGTAACATAAGCCGGCTATGAATTCTTGCAGCATGTGTTTGAATTGAAACATCTTTGCACGAGCCATTTTCTTCATATGTCACCTATCAGGGCCCCCCCCCTCAACTTTTTCCGCGATAGACTTGAAAAAAAAAAATTGTTTGCGACCCGAGCTGTTTTGACTTTTTAGCCTCGATGCTTGCGCATCTTTTGGTACCAAAAACATAACATTTGGACCACGGGTTGCTGCGCTTCGAAAAATTTGCAGGTGCTATGCGCCATGAAAACTGAATTTCCCCATATACGTACACAATGCAGAATTACCAATCATGATAAGATGTTCATGATAGATGTTTTATACATGTACAGAGTTCATAATTTTTCGTCACTTGATGGCCGAGATCTTAGGCCCTCTCCCCCCCTGTGAGATGGTCAAAATAACCCGGCCCTTTTAGGGTTAAAGGGAATATACAACATTTGCTTATGTTGTAATTTTCAGAAATAGTTGGATTTGGGGTTTAGTATTTAATAGGAAATATTGTTACACTGACTTGTTTGAAGTTTTGTGCTCGTAGATGCTGGAAAAACCAAGAAAAAATAAAAAGTTCTTGTCTGGTTCCCTGACCCCACTTAAGATGAAACGGAGCAATTTATAGACGTCGGGGAATTATAGGGGAACCAGTCTAGCTGGCTTGTGCCCGTTCATATATGTGTAATCAATTGGAAACAAAAAGCGGACTAACTAAATATGGTAAATTGGGGGCATTATTTGTAAAAAGCCGACCAGCGTCGGCCAACCAGCATTGCAAATTGATACAAAAATACCACTTTTCTTGGAAATGTCAGCAAACCAGGTGCAACGATTTAACAGGATGCTTAAGACTGTCATTCACTAACAGTCAAGTAAGGTATTTCGTAATAATTTGGTAGTTTTGTTTTTGTTTTCTGCATATGTTGTATATTCCCTTTAAAGATCTCCTTTCGTTTGGCCACATATGAAAGTATGATACCAAGGTTAAGGCCCCGATTTCACGGAGCTGCTTAAGTTAAGGGGAAAACTTTATCAAGATTTTCTGTACTGGTAAGACATTTTCCAAGCATGGTCTACATAGCTTTCTGTATTTTTGAAACATTTCTTGCTTAGCAAGCTCATGCAATTGGCTTCTGATCTTAGCCAGAGAAATAATAACAGCTCTGTTATTATGTGTTTCAGGTGAGTATTCAGCAAACACCTTCACCACTTCAGCATCAATCCCAATTATAGCGAGTCCTGTGGACACGATGTACAGATGTCAGGCATACGGGGAGGCTCTGGGCGCCAGGAGTGGTAGCTACGTGACGGTGACTGTCACCACAACTCATCATACACCACGTGAGCATGGATATTTATTGTTCCAGTCTAATTCTACAAATTTGTCTGGTAGAAATTCTTCTGTCCCTGCTCTACATGCCTTGACTGTAGAACACCCTTTGTAGTCCTACCATCCACCAACATAATCTGCTCCAAAAATTTCTGCTGTAAATGACAATTTGAAAAGAATGTAGTGTCCAGACACCACTTCTTTGTCTGTGTACAAAGTCTGTGAAGAGTCGAGTAAATTCAAAGTATTTCCTAACAAAATTGGAAATGTTTCTCAGTCCCAGATCCCTGTCGTATCAACATTTTTACAATGACTGACCTTCACTGAGGTAATATATTATGAAAAAAGTGGTGTCAGGATGCAACATTCTTCACTTCACATTTTTGGCGAGCTGCGAAGCAGATGCGAGCCTATGTAATACCAATTTCCGTCCGTCTGTCCGGGCGCCCGTCTGTCCGTTCTGACCATACCACCCTTGTGGGGTGATGTTCCTTTCAGGACACATCACCCCACTTTTTTCACAATAGAAAAACATCACCCCAGAAGAGAATCTTTAGAAAAAGGGATAATGGGAACACAATGCTATCACCCCACAATTCCGTCTGGCTGGAATGTCCGTCCGCATTCAGATAAAAATGTTGAAGTTTTTGGTTCTAGTTAACTTGGGGAAAAAAATTAAATGCAGTTGTCATGTATCATAGCTTCAGTTAGGTTCATATCATTGCAGTAAATTTTATGATTTTATTGAGGAATTTTAATTCAAGGAAATGTTAAAGTTTTTAATTGTTACATGTACATGTATACTGGTATAACATGTACGTGTGTGTATACCGGTATAACATGTACATGTACACTATGCATTTTGGGGATGTGCATGAGCTTCTGGTTTGATCTTTTAGTTTATGGGGTTGGAGTAGGGATGGGGTAGGGGAGGGTGGGGTGGGGTGGGTTGGGGGATAGGGTTGGAGTTAGGGTTTGTGTGAGTAGGATGAGTAGGGGAGCTAGGATGGGTGGGGCGGGGTGGGTTGGGGTGGGGAGAGGGTTTGGAATACTGGGTTTGGGTGGGGTGGGGATTTGTATAGGGGTGGGGTGGGAACAGGTAGGGAGAGACAGGTAGGGGGAGACAGGTAGGGAGAGGATGGGCATGGATGTAGGGGTTGGGTTAGGAGGGGGTTGGGCAGGGGGCGGGATATAGGATTGGAGTAGGGGTTGGGTTGGGGATGTGTAGGGGTTGGATAAGGGGAGGGGGCAGTATATAGGGATCGGAGTAGGGGTTACATGGGGTCAGGTGGGGATGTATGGGTAGGGGAATGGGGTGGGCGGGATATTGGAATTCGAGTAAGGGTTAGGATGGGGATGTGTAGGGTGGGTAAGGACAGATAAGGGAAGATAGGGTAGGTGGGTGTAGGGGTTTTGGGTAGGGGAGGGTACGGGTCAGGGGAGGGGGAAGGAGATAGGGATTGGAGTTTGGGTGGGGTTGGGATGTGTAGGTGATAGGGTGGGGATGGTTAGGGGAGGATGGAATGGGTGTGGGTAGGGGGTTGGGTGGGAGAGGGGGCGGGTTGGGGATGGGGTAAGGTTTTGGGATGGGGTAAGGTTTGGGGGAGGTGGTGATGGTGCTGTGTCTACATGTACATGTATACCCATTCTTGTTATGCATTTGTGGCGACTACAAAAGAGTTTTCCCATGGTAATACAAGTATGGGGACCAGAAGACACTGTTGGGGCTGCAAAAATCCACAACTGGGTCCTAATTACCCTAACAATAGAAAACTCCCCCATAATACAGTGACGGCTAACCTAGATATACATATGTATTTATTAGGTAATCTGTTAACTTTTGATGTTGACATTTAAAAACTGACCCCAACACCTAGGCACATCAACAAGAATCCTGATCCCCTTCCATCATTCCCATCCTCAACCCTACCTTCAGCCTCCCTTCCTGCCTTGGACAGCGAGCCATGACGGCTTCGCCGTTCTAGTTTTTAACAAATAAAAGCATTTCCCTAATATTTCGCTACATAATCGAATGATGACTCCTCTTTTTCTCGCACAAGTACAATCCCCCCCCCCCCTTTATTTGTTTGTAATCAGTTACATGTAAGTGCTTATAATGTACGATGCAATTTGAAATATATAAATAGCTGTTGTGGTACACAGCCTTTGTGTGAGATTTACACTATGTTCCCGGCGGCAACCACATTTCTGGCCACCGTGGACAAAACTGTATGGACGTGAGACAACGCGGGGGAACGGGATGGGCAAACGTGACAGTCTGTGATTGCCGTGGATGCCGGGCCAGATTTTTTAACTCAAAAAAATTGCCGGGGCAGTCACGGTACGGATGACAAACCTAGTAGGCCGTAGTAAAACGGGGTAAACGCAACAAAACGTGAAAGTACGCGTGAAAGGCCGTAACAAAACTTGGAGACAGTCCGTAGTGGGACGGGAAGCATGTGCATTCCCCGGCATCTCACCGGTCCTTTCAAGTTTTGTCACGTTCTGCCACGTTTAGCGTGCGTTTTGTCACGGTTGCCTTGGTTTTGTCCCGTTTTGGCAAGCTAGTGTGTACGGTAGCCGTTTCGTCGCGTTCAATCACGGCGTGTCCAAATGTGTGACGGTTTACAGGCCCGGTGCGATGCGGCGCGATGCAGCACGTTGCGTTCTACTATGGTCTGATACGGCAAGCGCGGTCTGGGAGGGGGTATAAAAGCATACAATGATTGCTATTGCTTGGGAGGCCTTCTTTTCATACCGTGGGCACAAACTTGCTCCGAAGCTGCCCGGCGTACAAGTTTCATCCGTAGAAAGCCTTGGCAGATCGCGAAAAACATGTCAGACTTTGATTAGAACGTGAGGAACGTGAGGGACCCCAGAGGGACCCCATCAGAACGTGACAGGCCGGGAGGGAACGTACTGGCATCCGTGGTAGTGCGCCTTTGAGCCTCCGGGACTCGGCAGCCCCTTTCCCCCACAGCCCATCACAGATACCGTGATAGACCGTGAGAAAACTTATCAGGACCTAACAAAACTTGACTACGGAGAAAAAATTGCCAAAATCCCACGGCGCACTACATTTCGGGCAAACAGGGCTGCCGTGACCCCCGGGAACATAGTGTAAACCTAGTCTTACACTTTCCTATGTCAAAAGCAATATGACAGTAAGTATCAGTCAGGTGTTTTAATTAAAATATGTCTACATAAGAGCTTTAAAGCCCCCCTTTATTCGATTTTGAGTTTTGCCGGCCAATTATTGCATTTGACAAAAGGAAGAATTTGGCTGAGTTTCAAAGCGAAATATTGTTTACTTTTGTAGTTATCGTAAACAAACATTTGACAAAATGCCTAAATTCCATGTTTTTCTGTTTTCACGAAGTGACACAAACTTACCTCGTTAGCAGGGCCAGAGGAATAAAGCATTTCTCTACACACACTTTGGGATGGGATTGGACGCGCACGCTGTTAACGATGTTGATAAGGCCCCCCCCCCAAAAAAAGTCTCCGGTTTCTGGTATGGAGCTTGCCCAAAAAGTGGTGCGGCGACGCGGCTTTGTTTTTTTTTTACCTGTTTTTTTTGCTTCAAATGTCGGCTGATGACTGCAAATGGTGCCCGACTAAACCTAGTGCAAATATATGGGAGTCTGGAGAGGCCACATAAAGCTTATTCTCGATCATAACCCCATCTAAAAACACATTAAATTGTGCAGCAGCAGGATTCCAGTCAAACCAGTTTTTTTTTTTTTGCCGACGCGCATTGTTACGGCGACGCGCACGCATACCAGAAACCAGAGACTTTTTTTTTTGGCCTAAAGAACAGACGCCGCGCGCTTCAGTGAGTCAGATGCGCAAACGTTTTATTTTTTCACGAAGTGACACAGAGTGTGTACAACCTAATGGGACAAAATAGTGAGGCCTCTGTGTTTTGCTGTTTTCACGAACTGAACAAAACTTTTATTGATCTTTATTAATGAATTACAGCTTAATTAAGAGAGACTTCTAATAAACAACTTTGAATTGGCACAGAACAAAGCATACGTTACTTGACAATGCAAGAATTTCTGAAATCCATAACTAAAAACTAGTCGAAAAGGTGTTTTGAAAAAATGATCAACTTCAACGGTGATTATCTCGGAATGACTTTTTTGCATGATATTGAGGTTTTTGTCACTTCGTGAAAACACCGACGAAATTTCAAAACTGTATTTGCAGAGTTCCCACCAGTTGCACCTAGCTCAGCTGTAACGATTAAGGAGGCTCCATGTACTTTGCACAATGCGGTGATTGGGCCTGCAGACACTCCAGATGGCTATGGATATGCCTTTATTGGGACTGCAGTTTTCCTTTGCCTTGTCATCGTTGGTTTGGTTATTGTTTTGTGCAAGGTAAGTTGGGGCATGCGCCCGATCACACAACATGTTCTTTAAAACACATGGACACTCTCAAGTAATCAATTATAAAGTAAATACTTTGTAGCCAATATCCATATCCTTGCACAAATGGAGTTTTAATATGTACAGAAGCAAGATATGTGCGCTATTGTCTGAGGTGTCATAAGTGTACAGCTTGGGTATCAAACTTGAATCACAAAAGTTTGTAATGACACATTTTGAGAATGGCACAACTCAGAGTATTGCAACATATGTCTAGGCAAGAAATGTGGTACAAATACTGTTGAAGTGACTCTTGTGAATCAGTATTTGTGGTGCTTGGCTGGATATCAGAAGTTGTCTGGAAAATGTTGCCTTTTGAAAATTTCGAAATTCAACGTGTTTGCAGACTTTCTTGGAGACAACTTTATCGGGATCGGGAAAAATAAGCCGCACTGTGGACCTCTGGGAAAACAAAAGGGAAATTCATCCAATAGGAAAATTTGTTGCGTGCCATCGCCACGCATGCAAGAAGTCCATAGAATACCGATTGCTGCCAATTCTGTGCAAGATTGATTTCACATCAAAAAGAGATACTAAGTTTATTTTCATTTGGATATCTTCATGAAGAAACAATGTAAGGAACTGCATGGCCTTCTGTGTGGCAAAACTAGGGGGATAGAATAACCTGGAGGGGGACAGAATAAACAGGCTGGGGGGGGGGGGGACACCACTTCTGCCAAGGTAATTCTGTTCCCTCAGACAGTTTTACCAGGGAACAGAATTACCCTCTACACGGGCCTCTGTGGGCAGTTTTATTTGAGATACTGTTGCGTTCCCTAATAGCAGTTCGTGAAACATTTATTAGAGTCAACAATAATTCAATAAGTTGGAGGGAAACAGAGCTTTGGGGTGACAGTCACAGTCACACATGTCAATACACTGATTTATTCATCTCTTCACTTTACATAACTTTGTTAGATTTCATCAACCTATAGGGTTTCTCATTTTGGTAGTCTTTGGTAGCGTTATAGAGATAACAGGTTGGCGTCTACAAAGTCTATACATGTACTATGTACAATGGCAAAACCATGTCAACCAATACGAACTGAGTGGGCACCGGCACGGTACGGGTTATCGACGGTCAGACCAAAGCGGGAGCGGTCCGCTGCGGTGACCGGGGAGGCAACGGTAACTGGACGGGGCCAGCAAGTGTACCAGGCCGCACTACAGTTCGAACCAAAGTGTGCATGTGGCGTATCGGGTATCCAAGGTCAATCGAGGCACTATGCACCAAGGATAGTGTTTATGACAAGACCGGGCTAGCATAGCTGAACTACGGGGGAAATGGCTACAAGGAGCCGGCTGGCCACAGCGGGAGCGGTCCGCTGTGGTGACGGGGATGAACTAGCTCTGGCTGGGCTAGAACACCAGACAACCGCACAACATGTTCAAGCTAAGACTAGCAGTCCAATGGCCATTCGAAACCGCACAGCACCATTGGGACTAGTGTATTACTATTTCACCAGCTTCTACACACTCCTCGAGGGATCTAGGAGAAGGATGCTTCATAATAACACTAGTACTAATGATTGCACTATTACTTCACCGCGCCTCAACCACTAAGGGAGGCCGATACTTCGTAGTGACAAGAGTCGCACAACAATCGGTCTGTCAGAGTCGGGTTCGCCGCACATCATACGATTTACCGCACAACATATAAGTTCGCCGCACAACTTTGGGTTTAGGGTTCGTTCGCACTACATTGGTTTCGTGGTTCGCCGCACTGCCGAAAGTAAGGAAAACCTCCGGTATTTATAGGCAGTAGAAGTCTCGGGATTAAATAATGCATGAGCACTGATTTAGGAATTAACCAATAGCAATCTTCCATGTCTAAGGGTCACATGACTAGTCACACGGCTTACTAAGAGTGCCTAGTGCAAGAGACTAGAAACGTGTGCATTTACATAAGGAAAAACATGGAGAGAGAAGTGTGCAAATACAGAGATAGATGTGTGCAAATAGTTAGATCAGAGTGCAAAAGTGTTTACGCAACATCTCGAGCAACCTTGATGGAGTGAGTGACAAGCTAAAAGGTTACTGTGTCACAGGTTATTGACACCGCAGGATGTCTTACCACGCCCAGCTACGCGACCACGCAAGGGTAACATTCCATTCCCTCGAGCTAAGTACGGGACTGGAAAACTGGACCGAGAACTCCAGTTAGTGTTCATGGGTAACACACGGGGGAGAGAAACGCTCCGTGCTGCTGAGCAGTCTCTCGGAGAACGCCAAAGCACGCATGCTATGGGGAAAGGAACTTAGCTCGCTGGGGCGAAGGGAGGTGTGGTCAGTCGCGCACATGTACATCGCTACATGAATAATGCATACAGTAGCGCGCGTGGTATTGCATCATGCGCTGTGCTTGGTAAGAGACCCTGGGAATAAAAGTGCAAGTTGGCAATTGACGATAATTAGGTAAAATAAGGAACTATAAAAGACAACAAGAAGATTGTGTACTTCATGGACAGAGTGATCCAGAGGGCGCTAGATTTCCATAATCAAGCATTCTGGGTTCGTAACAATACTTTATATATTGTTTTGCTTCCAAAGTGAGCATTTTAACCTTGATGGGAATAACAATTCAAATGTATATCGCCTGAACTGAAAGAGGTTGATAACCCAGGATCAATGAATGCATTGAATGACTTTTGCTATTCTCTCTTTTTCTATTTAATACTTACAGAAGCACAGTAAGGCGGATAATAGCAGAGAAAATGGTGCAGCAGAAATGCAGGTATGAGAAGTTGACGGCAGGTCACAAGCTTTAAAGTGTCACTTTCATAACTGGAAAAGAATGATTCCAGTTTTCAAAAAGCTCGATGGTAGGATACATAGATGCCGGGAGGCAATCCAAGCCTCTCTGAAGTAAAGACTCAATGCAAAGTAACAGTTCACACTGCCGGGAATTGATGCATTTTAAATTTCCAACTTTCGCAAAATTTCAGAACTTTCCATCATGAAGAATGATGCGTGAACAAATTACAAGATTCTTTAAAATTTAATCACGAAGCTTTCTTTTGCAGGATCCAAGGGTGAACTCTGGGAAATGGACCTGGATTCGGAAGTCCTGGAGCCACTTAACCAGAACGGACATGGTGTAAATTGATTTACAACACGAGTACTAAGCCAATTGTGCCTATGAAAATTGCAATATAAATGATGAAATTTGTACATGTAGTTATACACATGTGCATTGTAATTATTTTTTTTTACATTGTAAATTTTTTTTGTACATTGTACCTTAATAAAACATATTTTATTGAAATTTTATTTTTTTTATTGTAGGGTGATTGTTATTGTAGAATGACTTATAAATTGGTTGAATTGGTTAGTGGAATTTGCCTGTGATACAAAGAAACTAAAGAGTAAACATTTATAAACAGTAATCAACAGTAATCTAGTTTCATGCTGAATAACATGAAACTAGTTTTATCAATATTAAAGGGAATGTACAACATTTGCTTTAGCTGCAATTTTCAGAAATAAATGGATTTGGAGGATTAGTATGTTATTGCAAATATTGTTACACTGACTTGTTTCACGTTTTGGGTTTGAATATGCTTGAAAAACCAAGAAAACCAATCATATTCTTGTAGTCTGGTTCCCTGACCCCACTTAAGATGAAACGGAGCAATTTATAGACTTTGGGGAATTGTAAGATCAAATAATCAGTCTAGCAGGCCTGTAGTCTTCACAGGTGTGTAATCAATTGCGAAGAAAATGCAGATGAACTAAATATAAAAAATTAGGAGCACTTTTTGAAAAAAAGCCAGTTTCTCCAACGCTGGTTGGCCGACCAGCGTTCAAAAAATACATTTTTTCTTGAAAATTCCAGCATACCAGAAGCCACAACTTTACAGGATGCTTGAGACTGTCCTTCCCTAACAATCCAGAAAGATATTTCGTGATAATTTGATCATTTTGTTTTTTTGATGTTTGCAAATGTTGTATCTTCCCTTTAATAGACAACTTATTAGCTTTAATCCAGTTTGAAACATGAGTGAGCTCCCGGTTAACTTTATCAATGAGATTGTCTACGTTTTTATGGGAATAAAATAAATTTGAATCATCAGCAAAAAGTATAAAGGAAAGAATCTCAGAAAATTTATCAAAATCATTAATATAAATAGAAAACAACAAAGATGCCAGTGGGGACCCCTGTGGTACTCCACACGTTAATTCTTTAAGGTTAGATTTCTTGTCATCAATACAAACAAACTGTTGACGATTAGTAAGATAATTCCTGAACCACTTCAAGGCAATACCTCTAATTCCATAAAAGTTAAGTTTCGATAAGAGAATTTCATGATCAACAGTATCAAATGCCTTGTAGAGGTCCAGGAAAATTCCCAGAGTATGGCAAGACTGTCCGCGTCCTGTGGTAATTTTGTCAATTACAGTCGACTCTCGTTAGTACAAACTCTGTCAATACAAAATTCTGGTTATAACAAACATAAGGCCTTGGTCCCGACTGTGCATCTATGTGCACAATAAATGGGACTGATGTTCCTCTTAATACAAAATTCTGATATAACAAACAATTTGGCTAGGTCCGAAGGAGTTTGTATTAACAAGACTCGACTGTAGTTGCAGGATAGCATGTGAGGTTGAGTGATTCTCTCTGAACCCATATTGAACATCAGATATAATATTGTTTTTCTTTAAAAACTGAGATGTGCGAGTATAAATAATACGTTCAAGAATTTTCGAAAAAGAAGTTAAAATAGAAATGGGTCTATAATTACTCATCAGGTGGGGGTCACCTTTCTTGAAAATAGGAATGATCCTGGCTATTTTCATAGACTGTGGAACTATGCCAGTAATAATTGACTGATTCATTATATAAGTAAACGGCCCAGAAATACTGGAAATAATATCTTTGATAGTAAAGCTGTTAAAAGAATCATGACCAGAACTTTTCTTATTGGGTAAGCTCAATATGTACGATTGCATGAAGTTCTTGTTCCGTCACAGGAGCAAAAAAAAATAAAGGATTTGGATTATGAAGATAATTTTGATAATGAGTAGGACAATTGCGATTTTGAGTTGCAAGTTTGGGTCCAACATTGACAAAATAATTGTTAAAGTGCTCTGAAATTAAATAAGGATCTTTAACACTAAAGTTGTTAACATTAATACTAGAAGTCTTTCGAGGAGTATTGTTTTTGAGAACAGAGTTAATAATTGTCCACGTGTTCTTAATGTTGTTCTTCTCCTTTTCAAATTGGTTGGAAAAATAATTTGTTTTTGCAGTACGTAATACAGTTGCGAGTAAATTTCTGAAACGGATATATTTATGTCGGTTAGTGTCACCGGGAGAACGAATATATTTATGATAAAGTTTGTTTTTATGATTAGTAGATTTTAATAAAGCTTGGGTTATCCACGGAGACCTAGAATGGTACTTTTTATTTGTGTGATTCGCTTTAACCAAAGGAATATTTTTATCATACAGATTATTAAAAGTATTCATAAAAAAGTTAAAGGATGTATCAGGATTATCTGTATTAAAAATTGCAGACCAGTCGGTGGTTTCAAATCAGATTTAAAACAACAAAGATTTTCGGGGGAGGTTTTGCGAAAATATTTGGAATGGATGGGGTGAATATTTAAATTGTATGGAAGTTTTGTAAAAATGGGAAAATGATCTGAAATATCGGTAACTAAAATGCCTGAGCTAAGAGGAGGAGGGATATTACAAAATATATTATCAATAAGGGTAGCAGAAGTAGTCGTAATTCTGGTAGGTTTATTAATTAATGGAATAAAAGAGTGGCTAAACATTGAATCCATGAATTCCTGAGTTTGATTGTGATGGTCGCTATTTAAGAGGTTGATGTTAAAATCTCCCGAGATAAGGCACGGTTTATTCCCATTGGAAAGTAAGGTTTGAATTTCCTGAAGTGAAATAAAAAAGTCATGAAATGAAGCGGAAGGCTGTTTATAAACAACAACTACAATAATATTCCTATTCTTATGATTATTAATTTCGATAAAAATAGACTCAAAGGAATCAGTTAAACGGGATAGATCAGGCCTTATGATGTATTGGAGATCAGAAGATATGTACAAGGCAACACCACCCCCCACTTTATTGGTTCGACTGTTGGCCTCAAGATGATAACCTGGCATAGTATAAATATTAAAAAATATTAAAAATTATTTTTGTAGCTTAATAATGTACATTTCCATTCATTATTTAATGGAATTACAGTGACAGACCTTTATAAATCATATTTCTTTTCATTTTCACAAATTGGCATCGTTGTACATGCCAATGAAATGGTGGCCCTTCTAGATGGATACCTTTCAAAACCAATTTAAAATTGACTTTTTTGTACATGTACTTGTATCCAACTACCAGAATACCGGAAATATCCTGAAAAAAAAACCCAGAAGAGTTGGGCCATGCACAGATTGACTTTATGATGAAATTCCTAAATTGATCAGAAAAGGAATATTCACCCCAGCTAGCGATCAATGCCTTGAGCAAAATTCTAGGCATGCTGGCGTTCAGGACTTGACAAGGATATAACTTATAAGGTAGATGTTGGTGGCTTCTACTGCCATCCAGGCCATGGAGGTTAAAATGAAGTAGTGGATCAGAGCAGCCACAAGGATGCAACCCGGCCTGGAAGCCATATGGCCTCAATACACAGCAAGAAGATGAGGTAGAGAGCCAGCAAGGCAACACACAGGCTGATCAGGATCTGCTGGGGATGCTTGGTACGGAGTTTCCTACGTATTAACGGTGAAACACACTGCTTGATATTTTGTGAAGAGCTCAAAGGATTGCTTGAAACAAGTTTCTGTATACCAACAATATGTTAATATATTATCCCTGAAACTTAAAATGATTTACGCAAACTGCAACATTAAATGATGTGGTGCAAAGTATCTAGACTAATGCCTTGATAAATTGACTGCTCTAATTAGATAAGCATTCAAATCAAGTGGTTTTATTTGCTAGAGAGGTACGTAGTAGAGCCACCACCTGAAATCAATATTCCTTTGGAACCGCTTTTGAAAAACCCGTTCCTGATTTACAATCATTTCCATTTATAACAGGCATGCAACTTTTTCTCAGATCAGCTGATTTCCTCTTTTTTGATCTCTCATGTGCCATTGAAAATAGAAAAACACTTTACAAAGTCTTGGAAAGATTTAAATTTCCTCTTTTTTGTGACTTCCCAGATGCATGTCTGTTATAAGAGATAGCACTGTTTATAGATTATTTGAATTGACCAAGAAAGAAATATGTATTTCTTGTGCTTACCACAATAACAGCGAAGCTGGTTAGATGGTCACACAGACACCTGATGATGCCATCGGGTAGCGATTCATGCCTGCGTCCCTGTGTGGACCAATCGCCACGCCCGTCAGTCACAGTGAAATTCCAGAACACGCACTCGGCACTACCGACCGTCTCATTCTTACTCTGCTCACCTGGAAAAGAAAAAGAAAGATTTTCCTCCGTAAAAAGATTATTCAAAAATGGTTTTGTCAATTTTTTATGCATGCCTCAAAGAGTTTAAGAATTGAATAAACACAAAAATGAGGTTTATTCTACAAAGGTTGATGTATGGCGACATTAGCACAATGTAGAGATATAAACAATAATGTCAGTGATTATCAGAAGTTTTGGCATATTTTCAATGAATTTCTTTTGCGCAGTGTTTTTGGAGAGAATGTTGCAAGCTGACGCCACTTCAGCGGTTGTGTACACAGTTTATGGAGAGTCAAGAAAAAAAATTGGAAATGTTTCTCAGTCCCAGATTCATGTCTTATCATCATTTTTGCAATGACTGACCTTCATTGAGATGATAAATGAAGACAAAAGCGGCGTCAGGTTGCAACATTCTTTCCCTGTTTTTCCCTTAATATTGAATATAATCGGTGCATTCTAATTAAGAAGTAGGTTTTCGAAACAATTGTTTAAATCTTAATAATCAATAATGATTTGGATACGTACTAATTACATGTGGGTGCAGTTTCCGAGCAGTTAAGACGACAGCAATGTCACCAACAATGGTGTAGCCTATTTTTAACATGTAAAAACCAGAATCCACCATGGACCTCAAGTTGTTGTGTATCTGCATTTAATAAGATGTATTCACAGGTGTTTTTAAACACGAGCTTCTCTCCAGCTTTGAACCTAATATCTGGCTTCAAGTGTGAAACCCATAATCTCCAAATATTGACCTCAAACTATAGTATTCAAGGTTTCTAATGTAGAACATGACCCACATTGAGCCCAAGTTTACCAAGTCATAAGGTGTCTGGTATAGTTGGAGACGAAGTCGAAGTTTCGACGAGCTCCTTATAAGGGCTGAAGACACTGATAACAGGCATCATAGCAGCAATGATGCGGCTACCCAACGTGCCCCTGAATCTGTCCTCACGCCTACCTGCATAATTCAGTGTGGGAGACGAAACAGCCTGCTGTACGTTCTGATACAGGAAGATACTAGCTGGAACCTGATCGCCAGCGCCTGTTTGATGAGACACAGAAAAGCTGTAAGTAAAAAAAAACATTGTCACGATCATTTGGCTCCTTTTCACTGATCGTTCGTTTGCATAAGGTTATTGGTTAATTGGTTTTACTGAACCAGTTCAAATTCAATATTCTTGCTGTTGCAGCGTAGGGACGGGCGAGTAAATCCATTCATTGGCATTACCGGGAAATCCTACAGCTCTGCCCGGTCCACTAGCGACCGTCAGTGAGTCAATATGTCTGTCAGTCAGTGTGATATGTGCAAGGGAGACTACAGCCTGGACCTTTTGGGACCATGGCAAAGGTGCTTGGTTACCTCCAGGGATAGCAATCATAACTTTTATTTAGTTAGCTTCTACATGAATTCAGTGTTCCCAATGCAGCAATTGAACCTCAGAACAAATTCCTTGTCTTTCAATCTATTATTTACATACATGTATGTCCCAAATATGAAGGGGAGTCCATATTTCATTTGAGTGTCAAAACAAAGCAAATATCATGATGTCAAAAGTACAAGTTTAATTGATAGGTTTTCTCATAACAAAATTGCTTCACTGCCAAACAAAGTCACCATGAATCTTCCTGTTTTTTGGGCATACAACAAGGCTGAACTCATTAAAAAACTCTTAGTTGCTTAAAATCTCCAAGGAGGTTTTCTTTAGAATTTCGCAGTATTAATCCTCCTTTTGTTTGATCAGTCACAGACAGTCAAAAAATCAATCCTGTTCCCATGCCATGCCTTTTACATAAGCTAGTCACCAACAGTTGGATCATATTTCTTTTAAGCACCTTGACAGTTAAATTCCATCAACAGACAAAAGCAAGTAACTGGTAGGCACAGCTGGCTTATCAATCGTCTACAGTCAAAACATTGCTGTATCAAGTTTCATGAAAGTCATACCCAGTCAATCACAGCCAGTCAATGAGCCATTTTCGGTTCCTGCAAAGGGGAATATTTTGGAAGATTCAGAGTGGTCCCTTTCAAAGAATATATCTCGCCAAGTTTTCTTAGCCTAAAGTTCCTGTTAACAAAGGACAATTCACACCAATGGCATTCACTCACCCAGACTGACGGTCTAGATCGTGTCTTCTCAACTAGGATGTTACATGGATGGATGGAGTCTTTGACGAAAGACGGCGACTTCTCAATCAACGCCTCACTGATAATTACCATATCCTTCAATGAAAATACAAACAAAAGACATTATCCCTTACCCTGCCAGACCCAACACGGTGCATCAGGTGTAATAGTCTGTGGGACCTTGCTGCATTGAGCCATCAACACCAGTGCATAAACAGCCAATTCTGAGACAATAAGAGCTAGTCCCATTGAACAATGCCACAGTTGTATCCTGCTGCATTCGGTGACCACAGACTCTGAGGCATTTTGGCCTTGTGATTTTTCACCTGATGGATCTTGCTACACTGAGCTGGCTTGTCAATTAGACTAGTGTTACATGTTGCTGCGTTCAGTAGGGTTTCTAGTCAAAATACCCTGGAGGGTTAGGGTTGTTGGGTAATCACAGCAATTGTTGACAAAACAATCAAAATTTGGTTTCTTTGCACATCCCAATTATACAGCTCCACTATTCAGCAACTAATCAGAGCTACCAACATTTGCATCTTGCCATCAGGGAGATTTTGTACAACAATCAGGGAGATACTTAGAATTACATTCAACATAATAGGGAAAAAGTTTCCATAATCAGGGAGATTTTCAAATTTGTTCATCAGAACATGGAAAGGTTGGTTTATTTTCAGGGAAATTTCTGAAGAATCAAGGAGAGTTGGCAGATCTACAACTTGATCCCAACTAGTCTTTACGCTTCAAACCCTTCAAGTCTTGCCTGTACACTTTTGCCCGTAGAGTTACTAACACCACACACAATCCTTCAAAAAGATCCTGTATCTAGTACGCAGTGCTCTTCAAAACCAATTTACATTTTTTTTTGTGGACATAAAGTTTGGATCTGTTGTCACGCTGCAGAGCATTCAACATGTCAAATACTCATTGTCTCTCTACAGAATAAATTCACAGTAAATTAACAGTTCAAGACCTTTTACAAGAAGGTTTTCAGATGCTTAACATATTACATGCTTCAAGAGCCAATCATAGTACTTACCCCAACAGAAAACTGAATGAACTCCTCTGCAAAAGCTCCCATGAGGAAGACGATAATCCTACTTGGGGGCGGGGCATCGTTGGCAGCCGGCTCCTCCCCCTCCTCAAGAATCGTCTTCATCCACTTGTTCTTGCCGGCGGAATGAAGGGGCCACATCTTAGCAATTCTTCCCTGCAACACCAACCGAGGAAATTGATAAAACGATATGGTTTCACATATTATTTTCAATAAACCACACCGGATTTAACAAAGGATGGTATTTTGCCAAAACACACTAATTAGCCTAGGTTGGAGTGCATACTGTGTCGCAGTGTTGTCGTCAAGTCCATCACAAGTCCATCATAAGTCGGTCAAAGTCTATCACAAGTCTGTCACAGGTCCAACACAGGTCCAACACAAGTCGATCCTAATTCTATCACAAATCAGTCACAAGTCAGTCACAAATCCATCACATGTTAATCACAAGTCGATCTCAAGTCCATTATAAGTCTATCACAACTCTGTCACAAGTCCATCGCAAGTCTGTCAGAAGGTCCATCACAAGTCCATCCTAATTCTATCTCAAGTCCATCACAAGTCTATCACAAGTCTGCCAAAAGCCATCACAAGTCAATCACAAGTCAATCTCAAGTCCATAACAAGTCTGTCACAAGTCTATCACAAGTCTGCTAAAAGTCAATCACAAGTTCATCTCAAGTCCATAATAAGTCCATCACAAGTCTGTCACAAGTCCATCACAAGTCTATCACAAGTCTGTCACAAGTTAATCACAAGTCCATGATAAGTCTATCACAAGTCCACCACAAGTATGTTACTAATCCATCACAAGTCAAACACAAGTGTGTCACGAGTCTGTCACAAGTCCATCACAAGTTATCCAGTCTCAAGTCAAGTCACAAGCCACACAAATGAATTTTGACAAAAATGTTCCTTTGACATTGTTCACCCCATTACTCATTACTGGACTTGTGAAAAGACTCGCGATTTACTCTTGACAGGACTTGTGATGTGATGGACTCGACTATGACACTGCATGCCGAGTTGCTATGTTTTTAGATGCAAGGATAAGTTCTGAAAAATGTACAAAACCTCTGTCATCCAAATAGAACACTCTTAAGCCTTCTAAAAAGTAAGTTGGAACCTACCTCAATGTACTTAAAATTGAAGGAGGAATCCAGCTGAACATCAGCCAAGGATAACTGCTGCATCTTTGATAAACTTGATGGCCGACAAGAACATACTGTGACTGCCCTTGAAGCCATCTTGTCTGCCTGAAAGAAAAGGAAAGAATTTGGTAACTGCCCAATAAATTGCTCTTGCACGCAGCTGTAGTTGTACATATTTCTTCACTCAAAATGGTATGGATTTGTGAATACCTCCCTCACACTCCGCCACACATTGGTCAATAGCGCAAACATTAGCTGATTTTGCGATGGAGTAGGATCCTAGGCCTTTGGCAATATAAGTGATCATCCAGCACAATCAACCAGATTTTACAAGTTGGATCAACCAAAAACAATAGACCATCATGGATAGTTTGTATGGCCGGCCGCGCAGCGCGCCCGACAACACGATGTCATGAACTGCACAATGCATATTCATAACCTTGCCCAAGCATGCCCGCATAAAAGCATACATAAACGATGAACAAAACTACTCCGCCAATTTAAAATCCCATGGAGGAACATTTTTGAGATGATATTTGTGGGAGCTGAAGACTGATCGTCGTTTCTTGGCCAGATGGATGAAGGTTTCTAGATAAAGGAACATGTTTTGGAAAAGGTATGAGTTCCTCTATGAGCAGGTACCCTAACTTTGACAAATCTCTGCCCTGGATGAGAAGATAATCTCCCGCAAAGTCGGTAGCAAATTTGCTACATCAGTTTCAGGCATCCAGAGGACGTTTGCCGCTCTGGCCGTACTATAGAGCTTGTGAAAGTGTACGGCCAGAGGCATTCGGGCTAAGTGCGTGCACACACAGGCCCAAAAAACGATGTCGCCGTGCATGGACAGCCATGCCAACCGGTGAGTAGGTGAACAGCCCCGGCAATAATCCCTCATCATCCGTTTCACAGATTTTATATTCCAAAATGGGCAAATATTTGGAGCCGCAGGAACGAGTTGACTCGGGTAAGCATGGTAGAGTTTAGTCCCATAAATGTGCATGCACGCCGGCGCACGGCACTTCAGACCAAGAATGGTAAATGGGCGAAGATTGGTCACCACTGTTAGCGAGCACGGTGCTGTATACGTACGTTATAATAGACACACACATACAACGTGTATATCGTACACTGAACGACAGGAAAAACATATTCGTACCGCGACATGCATGACATGTCCGATGTAAACAACCAGGTTTTTTTTTCTTTAATCGGGAATGGTAAGACATTAGGTTGGTTTCCTTTCAACCAGATGTTTGAAATAGGATAAGTAAACAATCGAAAACATGAAATTTTCGGGGGTTTCAGGACCTAGTGCCCCTTTCTTATTACGCAGTGGCTATCGTTATGGCAGCCGTAACACATTTCCCTTTTTCTATCGTTACGGCACTGCAATTGCACAATGACATGTCAGATCGAACCACGCTTCCGGCCGGCCGTAACCCATTTCCCATTTTCTATTACGGCACTGCGCAGGCGAGATGACATGGCCGATCGAACCACAAAGCTGGCGATGCAGCCGGCCGGCAAATTGACTCGGACTATCCACGAAAGCAAGAGCTCTAAACAATATTGTTAAATGTAGAATATTTATTTGTAAACAACTGAAAATAACTCCAAAAAATCATTAATCATTCCTCACAGTCCTCGATCCATTATTAAATTAAACCAAAGTTTGCACATACCGGTACCCTAGAGAGTTGAGGTAGTTAAAATAAACATAAATGAAAATAAATCAGGTATTATTCGTCTGTACAGCATCTCGGGCATGAAACGGCATGGCAATGGCACGCACGCGAAGTTGACCTCGTATTATTTCAAGGCGTCGCTGACGACTTTGTTAGGGACCCTTTTTTTGGCCGATTTCACCGTGTGGGAGCTTCTTACATACAGGGAGGTATATGTGGCCTTTTCCCACTCTGATACTGACTGGGACAGTGCCTCAAAAGAGGCAAATTCTGTGCCCACAACGAGAGAATTCGCCATGTCTCTTGGGCACTCGTCCGACCTCGACCGAGACGCCAGAATCAGAGGCCTGTACTGGACATACGTACGTATTGCATGGCCACCTGTGGTGTATGCCCCGGCCGGCTGGGCGCACAGATCCCCGGCCCCGCGACGCGCGACGCAGGAAGCGCCAGCTTCTTGGTTCGATCGGCCATGTCATCGCGCTTGCGCATATGCAGTACCGTAACGATAGAAAATGGGAAATGCGCTACGGCTGCCGTAACGATAGCGACTGTTAACACACGAATGATAATTATCATTCGTGTGTTAACTAGATCACTACCGCAGTATTATCGTTCCGTTGCATGTTTTCGATCGACACGTATTTTCGATCCCCGGTGACGCCAGGATACTATTACTATTAGTCCCATACGTGGCCAATTTACTGGCATGACTAGCATGACTCCGTAAATAAAGGCCACACTTCCACCATGTACAAAAAAGTTGAACTTTGTCAAATTTTTATTTTCACATTTAGGCTTACCGGTAGTTTATTTTTGCTTTAGAAGCATACTCAACCTCTTTATAGACTCATCAGAAAGTGCTGCCTTTTAGCTTTTTGGATATTATTTTGGATATTTTTACACCTAAGCATCCCAGAAGGGTCATTCCATGTCAAATCACCCAAATTTTTTTAAAATTTAAACCCCACCCCCTTCAAATTGGTTCATATTTAGTTTATTGGGTAAGTTAGGCTGAAAAAGCTTGAATTTTAAGTTTTAGAGCCGTCGGATAAACAGTTTCTGTGCTACGGCCCGCCATTGTTTGGCAATTTTGGTCAAAATGGGCGTGGCTGCCAATTTTCAAATGACCATATCTCCATAACCTGTAAGCCAAATTTGTTAATCTTGGTTTCTTTTGAAAGGTAACATCATAAGGAATCCAAATTTACCATTATTTTTCATGTCAGGGTTATTTGAAGTATAATGACCTTTTGACCTTTACTTTGACCATGAATTTGACCTTGTGGATCACCCGTCTTTGAGACGAACTTGGATGAAAATTAAACCCCACCATGTTTTCTACAAAATATCAAAAGAATGGGGGTATAATATTTTTTGTTTGGTTTCTAGCTCATGTCAAAGTTGGCAAACGTGTTACAAATGTGATATCCCTATGCAGTGTACTAGTGGATTTAAAGTAGGGATTTTTTTTGTCCCTGAAATATGTTCATGTATAGGGATATCACATTTTCAACACGTATGCCAACTTTGACATGAGCTAGAAACCAAATAAAAAATATTATACACCCAATTTTTTGACATTTTGTAGAAAACATGTTGGTGTATAAGTTTCATAAAAATTCATCTCAAGGTCACGTGATCCACAAGGTCAAATTCAAGTTCAAAGTAAAGGTCAAAAGGTCATCATACTTTAAATTACTCTAACATGATGATGAACAGTAATGGTAAATTTGGATTCCTTATGATGTTACCTTTCCAAAGAAACCAAGATTAACAAATTTGGCCCACAGGTTATGGAAATATGGTCATTTGAAAATTGGCGGCCACACCCATTTTGACCAAAATTACTAAACAATGGGGGGCGGTAGCACAAAAACCGTTTGTCCGATGGCGCTAAAACGTAAAATTTCAGCTTTTTCAGCCTAAATTACCCCACATACTAGATATGAGCAAATTTGAAGGGGGTGGGGTGTAACCCATTGGGTGATTTGACATGGAATGACCTAGCCCCATAAATGTGGCCTAATTACTGGACTGCCTCCGTAAACATAGGCCACACGTCCACATATACAAAAATCGTGTCGACTTTGCCAAATTTTGATTTTCACATTTAGGCTCAGTTTGTAGGATTTTTTTGCTTTAGAAGCTTACTCACCCACTTTATAGGCTAGTCAGAAAGTGCTGCCTTTTTCAGATGTATATTTTTCGTGAAATTTCCAGATTCATTTTTACACGTTTGCGTATCAAAATCTCAACATGAAATTTCACAAAAATTAGACATCTAAAAAAGGCAGCACTTTCTGACTAGCCTATAAAGTGGGTGAATATGCTTCTAAAGCAAAAAAATCCTACAAACTAAGCCTAAATGTGAAAATCAAAATTTGGCAAAGTCGACACGATTTTTGTACAGGAAAAAATTCCGTACTCGGACGTCACTTTTTTCAATTAATTTTCTAGCGCCAAAAGTTACATCTTTTATGGTTATTCCTCCACTTTCCCTCCTCTACTCTCACCCTCTCCTTTCCTTAATTTCTATTTATTAATCAGTCAGTTACTTCATCGGGATTCGAACCTCTGACGCTTGCTTGATACACGAGACTCTTAACCGCTAGGCCGCGCACGATCGCTGTTGCAATAATCAATCTTTGGACGTATTTGAAGTATCCATTGAAATAAACTAAATATTCATGAGAAAATAAATATTCATAATGACGTTTGCACTATCATTGGCAGGCTCATGCGACGTCATGGTTGTTGATGTCACTTGTATAACGTACCGCTGTCTTTCAGCCACTACAATCAGTTTTGACCGGCTGCTTCAAGTTAGTTCTGCACGACGTATGCATCCAAAATGTGCTCTAAAAACACATTTTGAGTAAATTTTTTTCACCTTAACACAGCTTCCTGGATTTCTCTTGGTTCAAATGACAAGGTGAGGTGACAATAATATGTTTGGCAGCAGATAAATTGACGTCCGAGTATGGATCTTTTCCCCTAATTTAAATCAAAACTGTGACTTTCACTTTTTATTAGGGTGTTGGCTCCCTTGCCATGGAGACATAATATGATATTTTTAATTTGTCACTTTATTGCAGTTATAAGTTATGATAAACTCGTAAACAAACCTTTCAGTTTCAACGCGAGGCAGGCAACAGCTGCAGAATTGAAGTAAGAAGTGAGAACTTTGACAGTTTTGAAAAGTGCGCCCTCACTGCTCGCCCTTACCACATAACGTTAAGTCGTCGCTTGAGGGCGCAAACCTAGACCGTAGCTTTGTCCGAATTCCAATCGGCCTAAACGCGTCGAGCCCAACCTCGTACCCAGGGTGTCGAGCAGTACGCGCCCATCACTACCTGCTCTCTCACCCTGGTATTGGATCATTTGCATGTGCAAGATTTTTGCACACGTATGCAAATAATACGGAAGCTTGAATTGCCTTCCGCGATACCGCGTTACCGCGATAATTTATCACAGAAATCCGGAATTCAAAGATAATTCCTTCCGCGATACCGCGTTACTGTGATAATTTATCACGGTAACGCGGTATCTCTGAATGATTTATCTCTGAATTCCGGATTTCTGTGATAAATTGTCAGGGTAAGGCCAAAAAAAAATAATAAGTCGGTCTCTGGTCAGCGCGCGCGTCGATTTTAATCATGCGCGTCGATCTTTTTTTTTCCAAAATGTTCCGCGGTAGCTCCAACAGCGCCCTCTATTTCCGCACCTCCTCAATTTTTTTTTCACCAAAGAGCACCAAGGAATGGGAAATTGCACCAAGGCAAATGATCGAAAGCACCAAGGCAAATTATGGAGGACACTAATGTACATGAGGACACCAAAAAAGCAAAATAGTACCCACCTTGTCTGTACAATCCAAGCTTGAAAAAAAAAAAAAAAGCAAAAAAAAAAAAAAAAAGCCGCGTGGCCGCGTCAATTCCGGAACTTTGGTCTGACCAGAGACCGAATTTTTTTTTTTTTGGCCTAACGCGGTATCGTTGAATGATTTATCTTTGAATTCTGGATTTCTGTGATAAATTATCGCAGTAACGCGGTATCGTTGAATGAATTATCTTTGATTTCACGATTTCTGTGATAAATTATCGCAGTAACGCGGTATCGCGGAAGGCAATTCAAGCTTCCGTAAAATAAAGAACAGTCTGGTGTCTGGATATGCGTTACACATTAGCGTTTGTTTTTGTATGCGGTGTCTGGGGTAAAAACAGAGTCAATTCGTAGCAGCGCGAGCACGGCGTGAGTTACGAAAACACGATTTTTGAAATCAAACTGTTACGATCTTATCGAGACAACATGCAGTATCATATTTCATATTAATATGAGCAAATTGGAAAGGAAATTAGTATTTTTGAGAAGGCGTGGACGAATGATCGCGAAAACACGTACTGCACGTTGTGAATATATAGCACCAAGTACACGATAAAAATCCATTACTAGCCGGTATCCAATCAGGATACAGGAAGAAAGTTTCCTATCCAGGGTTTAGGAAATAAAGTAAGCACTGGGGACGAGGTTGTGTTGTTTCCCATCATGCCTTGCGCGATCCGGTTCGTTAGTAAAAACGTCATACACGCGCGAACGATAGAACTGCGTTAACTTCCGGTTTCAATAATCGTGCAGAAAGTGCTGGAGGTGACGTCACACTAACGAACCGTATGCAGGAGAACCTGATACAAAAAACGAGCGCCAAAATGATTCCCGCCAAAATGTTACAGTGGCGCGCCGTCGTTTCAGCGCCCACAACAAAGCGCTGTGCATACGCATCTGGCAATAATACGACATTGTGTGACTTTGTTTTTGGATCAAAATTGTTTGTAGCTCAGCTGAGAAGGGGAACTTCATCCAGGACGGTGACCAAGATCTTTTTTCACAGGTATTTTAATAGAAGACATTAGGAAGCCATTAGGAAGCGAAAACATGTCCTATAAATATAAATTTACAGGGAAAATATTGAATTGGAAGCATGTAGGGCCTAGCCCTAGGCCTAATGAGAAAACACTTGGAAATTTTCAGACCAGTCTCTAGTCATATAGGGCTTTAATATTACAGGTACTTACATGTACTTATAGGTCCTCTTCTGATGAAAGGCCTTTTGTGGCCTCTAGTATCAGATCTTCATAAAAACTAGATTTGAATTCTGTTGTGCGCAAGCCTAGTGTGGAGGTGGATACTGGGGTGTCTTTGTCATATTTAAAGGGGTGTGAAGCCCACACCTTATCCAATCTGCCCTCAAAGGACTGTGTACTAGGAGCTGAAACCACAACTTCTTGGAGGCTATTCCATATGTCAGTACATCGATGCACAAAGGAGTACTTTCTGACATCCAACCTTGTCCGGACCTTGTTTATTTTATACTGATGGCCTCTGGTCACACTAGAGCTTAGGGGGATGAAATTGGAGACTTCGTTGTCATACTTTCCGCTAAGTATTTTGTACATTTCTATCATATCTCCTCGTATGCGCCGATAGGCCAAGGTTGGTAGTTTGAGATGTTTTAGCCTTCCCTCGTATGACATGTCCTTAAGACCTGGGATAAGTTTGGTCGCTCGTCGCTGTTCATTCTCCGTTTCAATTATATGTTTCTTGTGACATGGTGCCCAGACTTGGTTGGCATACTCGAGATGCGGTCTTACCAGAGCTTTATACAACAACAGGAAACTATCCCCATCCAAATGGTCGTACGTTCTTCTAATTAAACCCATGATTGAGTTTGCTTTATTTATCTTTGTAGACATGTGACTTCCAAAGGATAGTTTATTGTCAATGATGACCCCAATGTCCTTTTCTTCATTAACTTGCTTCAGTGGGTATCTGTTCTCTCCCATGGTATATTGTTGATCTTCTACTTTGGTCTTCCCGATCCTCATACTAGTCATAGTGCTACATTTATCTGGGTTGAATTTAAGCAGTGAATCCTCTGTCCATCCCACCAGGCGGTTTATGTCATCCTGGAGTTTGTCACAATCCTCCTCGGTTATAGCCTTGACCAAGGCTATCAGCTTGTTCCCATACGAGCTTGTTCCCGCTACCGCACACAGCACGCCGCGACACAACCACGAGTTGTACTATACCGTTAGCCCCAACGACCCTTTGCTGTGCTTTGTGTGCATGTACGTACGCCCTACACACACTTCCGCAAACAGCCGTACAGTAAGTCGAGGCGGAAGATAGCCTTGACGCAACTGTGTATGCTGAATATGATAATTAGTACGTGCTATATCAAATAGTCTTCTCTCATTGGATAACGGCTGACAAACAAATGAATATTTATTAAATTGCATAATACGATCAAAGGTTTATAAACCAGACAGCCTGTGGTAACAATAATTATTGTAAAACACCCCCTTAAAATCTTAAATAACAGTAGAATAATATTCATAAAGTTACACATAGTTTGGGTCGAAAATGAAATGAAAAGGATGAAAAATTAAACCTTCAAAACACGGCAAACAGTACAAACCGCACGCCGGCAAAAACGATGTCGCCATGCACAGAGGCCATGTTGGGCCGGTCGTCCACTGTAGGCACCGGCCCGGCTGGCGCCATGCAGTAAGACATGCTGCACAGTCTTTCAGCAGCCAAAAAAAGGGCTCACACTATTGAGTATATCTACCGCTGACTTTTGGGGGAAGTACTTCTATTAGTTCTAAGCTGTCAAGGGTATATGGAAAAAAATTATCTCTCCTTCAGCAAACTTATTCCGTAAGACTGATTTTAACTTGTATGAACAACTTATAAGTTATAAGTCGTATACGACTAATATATTGACAAGGTACGACATATGTCGACAGGGTACGACTAATATATCGACAGGGTACGACATATGTCGACAGGGTATGACATATCAAACATATGACATAATGTCGACAGGTGCCGGTATGACATATATGTCGTGCGTATGTCGAGTCGACAGGGTACGATATATGTCGCATACGACAAAGTCATATATAAGTACGACTTAATAACTCATGTGTACAAAATATGAATTTTAACTCCTATGTTCGACTTGTTTGTCGATTATGTCGTATCTCCATATGTTCAAAATGATGCGTTTGACATACATTGATTGTATATGGACGTAAGTATGAACATTAATTTTATGTACGAGGACACAGGGGATACGACATCATAGTGACATGTAGAGAAACAACACTGTGTACAGATCGGTATATGCATCATCGTCTGTTTCGTGAAATGGTAACAGGACTCACTGCATTGTATGTTGCCAGGTAGGCAGGCTAGCATACTCTACTTTTGTAGGCCATTTCACGAAACAGTCGCTGATGCATCCTGATATGCACGCAGAGTTGTTTTTCTACATGTCACATAAACATCGTGTCCCCTGTGTCCACGTACATATACATATAGGCTACTGTCAGTGTTGGAGTCAAGTCCTCTAATCCGAGTACAGAGCACTCCAAGTACACTGTGACGAGTGCGAGTCTAAAGCACCGAGTACAGGTACATTAAGGTTAAATACATGGCTGAGTCCGAGTACCTAAGAAATATCTGCAAAGGATTGTTGCCATATTATTTGCAGTATATATTTTTTTTGTTTTAATTTCTTTCCAGCAGTGACGCTTTCCACCATGATCAAAGCACACAAAGCAGACCTGTGGATGGTTCTACTTCTAGGTAAATGGCATCCATTGCGTGCTTCAGTCATGCAGGCGATATGAATGTGCAAATGTATGCGCCAGTTACTCAAAATTTGAACTATATTGGCAATTTTTGAAAGGAAACAACTCTTTTTTTTTCAATGGAGCCCGGAGACATATAAAAAACAGAAAGATCATTACGACTAATGAAAATGTGCTACTTCCCGATACAACTAAAGTTCCATTTTCTATAAGTTTCAGTCAAACAGGGTCTTTTGGGGTAAAATTGCATTAATCTGTTCCGTTAATTTTACACCATCAGTAATCTTTAAATAAAATGTGACTTATTTAATAATATCTGTTGGTATATAGGTACTATTCCCCTTGTACTTGTTTCTGTAGTTGCTATTGGCGTCCAAGCAAGTCATCTCGAGGATGGAGCCATCTTCCTGGAGCGAGGCAACCCTGGCATCCTGTCCTGCCCTCTCGTCGCATCCGGACGAATCCCGCTGGATCAGATCGAAGTCATGTACTGGTACTTCCCCCAAGTACGAGATGAAGACATCTTGATCTCCTACTTCCTAGGGAACGTCGCTCCACAAAACGGCATCCCGGAGGGCGTGTATGACATCAACAGAAATTTCTCTCTGGTTGTTGAGAACGTCACTGAATCAGATGGAGGGACCTACTTCTGTAGGGTCAAACCGAAGTGGAAAGTGGTGGTTGATGGGCACGTGACTATGCGTGTCAAAGGTGAGTGGGTTGGTTTACTGAATTATGTCATCCATGAGCTGGACAAAAGCAATGGTGCAGTTTGTTAGACTCGATTATAGGTCGGGCGGAAACGGTTGTGGAATGATCGCTTATTTTTTTGTTTAGCTGACAGCTCAGTTGGGGTTTAGAAGTCCAAAGTTCAACAAATTTTCTGAAAAAGGTGGGAAAATTATGACACTCTAAAACTGTGCAAGTGCACACGTATGTGCCTGCGCTTGGCTTGGGATTTTCTTTTAATAATTTAAGTTTAGGAGCTGTGAGCTCAATATTTTGGTATTGATCTTGAGAGCAATACGAAAATATAAACCGTTTTTATTGATTGTCTCCCTTGTAAATTAGTCTATGTAACCATGGCGAATATAATATTTGAGCAGATTCGCTGATTAATTATGCAAGACAACAGCATCTTAACCTCAAGATTTTGACCAATCAGTGGGCGCTTTCTATATCAGGTCTTCGGTCATTCACCCATTGTGGCGTCTTAGACATGGATAAAAAACCTAGACACAGCAAACAAAGGCTGTTTCGCGCGCTCTGTATTATGTTATGTAATGCGCACCCGGCCATTGTTGTATTACAAAACACTGCATTCGTATTGACCAATCAAACATTTAGTCCTGATTTGGGAATGAAATGACGTCACGATTTAGTAAAGTCGACTCTGATTGGCTGAGGTGCGGAATCACATAAATCTGCATGCTTAGATATATCAAGACGTTAGAAAGGAGACTGGGCTTCATGGATATATACGGGTGATACTCAGACTTCTTGTAAATTTGCACACAAAAATCCTCCACAAGAAGTTGAAAACATTTTTATATAAAAATAAGGAAGTCTGAAAGCTTTCTTATATTTTCCAAAGGATATTTTTTCAAGGACTTAGCAACTTTCTGTCAATGAAATGAAAACTGTTGAACGTTTTCCATGAGACTGAAAATTTATGTTATAGTTGTTGGTTAATAATATTTCTACCTATTTTGATGAATCTATGTTGGTATCTATGAAGCAAGGTCATCAGTTGTCATCTTGTTAAAGATTATGGTGACACTTTAAAGTCTTGTGTCCACATTTTTGTCAATGGTATTTTTTGCTGATATTTGTGTAGTATCACCCACGGAGCTGTTTCCCGACGTGACCCAATGCACTGCACGCATTACGGAGACTGCGTGCGAGGCAGTGTTGCCATACGACATCAAGAACCCGTGGTTGATGTGCATTGTACGGGATACCAAGCCTGCCGTGGCTCTCCGATGGCTGCTGGAGTATAGTGACGGCGACACACAACTTATAAGCGACAGGTTCACCGTACAACCGAGTATGTACAGGGTTACTGAATCTCAGGGTGCCCCAGCGATTGTAACATATGAGCTGGCTGTCAATTCTTATAGCATGTGTTTGAATTGAAACATCTTTGCCAGCTATTTTCTTATTTTGTCACGGGCTTAAAGATCTCCTTTCATTTGGCTACATATGAAAGTATGATACCAAGGTTAAGGCCTGATTTCACGGAGCTGCTTAAGTTAAGGGAAAAACTTTCTCAAGATTTTCTGTACAGGTAAGACATTTTCGAAGCATAATAATAATAATAATAATAATGAGATAAGGTTTTTGGACAGTGACAAGGAAACTCTTGACCATTATGAAAACTAGCACTTTTGCTCTAACAAGCGCTGTATCTTTAGTGATTTTTTTAAATCACTGATTCAATACAAGTTTTTTCAAAAGCATTTATCAATTTATTGAGTTTTGTGGATGATGGGTATTAGAACCTGTAAACTCTTTTGTGATGGGTGTGAGGGTGCATGGGGAGATTTAGACACATATTTAAACATATCAATATTTTGAAAGTAAAAAAAAAAAAAAAAATCTGATTTAAATAAAAAAAATCTGATTTAAATCAAATAAATCCGATTGTTTTTTATTTTTAAACAAAAATTCAAAAAAATAGCCAACCCTGGTCTCGAAAAACTGTAGTCTGCTGGCTGATAACTTAAGCTATGTTAACTAGAAATAATAACAGGTTCTTATATAGCACTTTAAACTGAGATCAAAGCGTTCTACATTATTATTACCCCTGATTGTTGGTATGGCACCCCGGATGCTGGCATGTAAAAAGACTAGCACGAGCGGCGAAGCCGCGAGGGCCTTTACTATCTCGTGGAACTAATCACTTATTCATTTATTCACGTAATATAAATCAAGCAATATAAACCAATCATCTAATGGTGGTTTGCGGTTACCAGCAACAGCACGCGCACCATGGCACACTTGCTGTCTTGCGCCAGACGACGGCTGATTTACGTTAAAAATTCTGCATTTTCATTGGTCAATTCACAACGGGTAATGCATTATGCATGTCTACCAAATCGGTAGACAAATGTAAAGAAAAACATGCATAAGCGTTTTCCACGAGATGGTAAAGGCCCTCGCGGCTTTGCCGCTCATGCTAGTCTTTTTATATGTCAGCATCTGGGGTGCGTCATGTGTCCGGGTATAAAGCGCGTGGGACTTGACATAGGCTTACCGAACATGACTGCTGTCCAACGTTGCAGTCCAATAGCAGTTTCATTATAGCATACTGCATAGCATGCGAATGCTATGAATGAATGCTATCAATCCAATAGCATTCTCATATAGCATTCATTGAGGTATAGCAGTCCGATAGCAGTCCGATAGCATGTCAGGAAGCCGAATTATTTAAATGAGCTATGCGCATGCTATTAGGAATGCTTTTATATTCAACTGACTGCAGTTTTCAAATTTCCCACACTGACCGTTAATCTGTGGAATGGAAGGTCATCACTGTGTCACGTGACTTGTAGTCCATGATACGATAGGCTTGGAATGCTATTTGCAGGCTATGCTTAGCCACGGAATGCTATACTTTAAAATTATTTTACAACTGACTGCTAAATTGGAATGCTATTTGCAGTCCTCCCACTTTCACTTGCATGCTATGTGGAATGCTTTGAAGCTTGCATATGCTATTTGGAATGCTATTTTCATTCTGCATGCTATCGAGAATGCTGGACTGTTAAAGTTAGCATTCATCAAGTCATCATCATCTGTGAATGCTATGTGAATGCTATTTTGCACATGCTACTGGACTGCTATTGGACTGCTATGCACATATACGTCGGTGAAGGGCAAAAACCTAATTTTGATTTACATCATTATTGTGTCATCATCCTGACGCAAATTCCATGTCATGAATTGCTTATACATGTAGTTGTCGTTTGCCTGTCATTCGCTGCCAATGTTGATTTGGTTGTTGCTGTGTGCAAGGTACATTGGAGCATCTGGCAATACCCATATTTGTAGGTTACCCTGGTAAAACATTCTTGCTTAGCAAGTACATGTACATGTAATTGGCTTCTGATCTTAGCTAGAGAAATAATAACAGCTCTGCTCTTTACGTTGTGTTTCAGGTGAGTATTCAGTGAACACCTTCACTACCTCAGCATCAATCCCAATTATAGCGAGTAATTCGGCCCCCTACATGTACAGATGTCAAGCATACGGGGAGGCTCTGGGCGCCAGGAATGGTAGCCACGTGACGGTGACGGTGACTGTCACCACAGCTCATCATACCACGCAAACACCACGTGAGCATGGATATTTATTGCTCCCGTCTAATTCTACAAATATGTTTGGTAAAAATTCTACTGTCCCTGCTATACCCGCCTCGACTGGTAGAAACGTTTTGTAGTCCCCTACCATCCACCAACATTATCTGCTCCAAAATTTCTGCTGTAAATGACATTTTGAAAAGAATGTAGTGTCCAGACACCACTTGATTGAGTGTGTACAAAGTCTGTGAAGAGTCGAGTGCATTCAAAGTATTTCCTAACAAAATTGGAAATGTTTCTCAGTCCCAGATCCCGGTCTTTTCAACATTTTTTAAATGACTGACCTTCACTGAGGTAATATGTGATGAAAAAAGTGGTGTCGGGATGCAACATTCTTCACTTCATTTTTTTTTAACAAAAGCATTTCCTTATTATTTCCCTACATGATCGAATGATGAATCCTCTTTTTCTCGCACAAGTACAATCTTCCCCCCTTTATTTGTTTGTAATCAATTACATGTAAGTGCTTATAATGTCGATGCGATTTGAAATATTCATCAAAATAGCTGTTGTGGTACACAGCCTTTGTGTGAGATTTTGATTGTTCTATTTATCATAAATCCCCACTGCGCTGTGAATGCATTGAAGCTTTTAAGAAAGTGTTTTGTTTATACACTTTCCTATGTCAAGAGCAATATGACAGAAAGTATCAGTCAGGTGTTTTAATTAAAATATGTCTTCATAAGAGCTTTAAAGCCCCCTTTATTACATTATGACACAAAGGAAGTCATCAAATTAATGAGTACATTGACTGTATTGAGTTTTAACAAATTTCAAAACTGTATTTGTAGATTTTCCACCAGTTGCAACTAGCTCAGCTGTAACGGATAAGGAGGCTCCATATACTTCGCATAATGCAGTGATTGGGCCTACAGACACTCCAGATGGCTATCGATATGCCTTTATTGCGACTACAGTTGCCCTTTGCCTGGCCCTAGTTGTCATCGTTGGTTTGGTTATTGCTGTGTGCAAGGTAAGTTGGGGCATGTGCCCGATCACACAAAATGTTCTTTTTAAACTTGTGAACACTCTCAATTAATCAATTATTAAGTAAAAACTTTGTAGCCAATATCCATATCCTTGCACAAATGGAGTTTTAATATGTACAGAAGCAAGATATTTGCGCTATTGTCTGAGGTGTCATAAGTGTACAGCTCGGGTATCAAACTTGAATCACAAAAGTTTGTAATGACACATTTTGAGAATGGCACACCTCAGAGTATTGAAACATATGTTTAAGCAAGAAATATGGTACAAATACTGTTTAAGTGACTCTTGTGAATCAGTATTTGTGGTGCTTGGCTGGATATCAGAAGTTGGCTGGAAATTTTGCCTTTTGAAAATTTCGAAATTTTCGGCAAAAATAATCTCAGCGGCAAGTGGTTAACATGTTTACAGACTTTCTGGGAGACAACTTTATCGGGATCAGGAAAAATAAGCCGCACTGCGGACCTCTGAGAAACCAAAAGGGAAATTCATCTAGTAGGAAAATTGGTTGAGTGCTATGTTGGGAACATTGACCAATCAATGTAGGCATTATATTAATGCGGCCATCGACACGCGTGAAAGAAGTCCACAGAATACCGATTGCTGCCAACTCTGTGCAAGATTGATTTCACATCAAAAAATTTTACCAAGTTTAATATTTTCATTTGGATATCTTCATGAAGAAACAACGTAGGGAACTGCGTGGTCTTCTGTGTGGCAAAACTAGGGGGACAAAATAACCTTGAGGGGGACAGAATTAACAGGCTGGGGAGGGGGGACCACTTCTGCCAAGGTAATTCTGTTCCCTCAGACAGTTTTAGCAGGGAAGAGAATTACCGTCTACACAGGCCTCTGTGGGCAGTTTTATTTGAGATACTTTACATATTGTTTTGCTTCCAAAGTTAGCATTTTAACCTTGATGGGAATAACAATTCACATGTATATCGACTGAACTGAAAGAGGTCGATAACCCAGGATCAATGAACAGTTGAACACATTAAATGACTTTTGCTATTCTCTCTTTTTCTATTTAATAGTTACAGACGGACAGTAAGGCGGATAATAGCAATGATACGGTTGCGAACCATGCAGGAAACTTGAAGAGGTTCAGTGGAAATGAAGGTATATGATAAGTTGAAAACAGGTCACAAGCTTTAAAATGTCACTTTCGTAACTAGAAAAGACCGATTCCAGTTAATCACAATGCTCGATGGTAGGATACATAGATCGATCCCGGGACGCTATCCAAGCCTCTCTGAACAAAAGACTCGATGCAAAGTAACAGTTCACACTGCCGGGAATTGACGCATTTCAAATTTCCAACTTTCGCAAAATTTCAGAACTTTCCATCATGAAGATTGATGCGTGAACAAATTACAAGATTCTTTAAAATTTAATCACGAAGCTTTCTTTCGCAGGATCCAAGGGTGAACTTTGCGAAATGGATCTGGAGTCCGAAGTCCTGAAACCACTTCACCATTGCTGAACATTTAACATTGCTGAACATTTATTTCAACGTTGTTATGTCACTAGAGATATTAAATCGTTATGTTAACATTTAAGCATACAAAATATAATACGAAGTAATTTTACACAACACCGTTATTAACATACATAATCCACATACATAATCCACATAACAACACGGGGATAGGGTGAAGCGATCGCTTTTGTTTCCTGATCCGTTGGACACTTAAAGACTGACAATTAAGTACGAACTAAGGACAATGACAGACAAACAAACAGGAGTATCATTAAGCTATTGTTGTATGTTTACAAAGTATCAACAGACTACGAATAAAATGTAAGAAGTTGTGTTTTTAGTTTTTTGGTAAATGTAGATAGAACGGACATGATGTAAATTGATTTACAACATGAGTATTAAGCCAATTGTGCATATGAAAATTGCAATATAAATTATGAAATTTGTAGTTATACACATGTGCATTGTAAATGTTTTTGTACATTGTAATTATTTTTTTTTATTAGGCCCAAAAAAAAAAAACTTCCGGTCTCTGGTCAGACCAAAGTTCCGGAATTGAAGCGGGGACAGGGCTTTTTTTTTTTTTTTGCTTTTTTTTTTTCCCTTCAAGCTTGGATTGTACAGACAAGGTGGGGTACTATTGTGCTTTTTTGGTGTCCTCATGTACATTGGTGTCCTCCATAATTTGCCTTGGTGCTCTCGATCATTTACCTTGGTGCAATTTCCCATTCCTTGGTGCTCTTTGGGAAAACAAATTGAGGAAGTGCGGCGCTGTTGGAGCTACCGCGGAACATTTTGGAAAAAAAAAAGATTGACGCGCATGATTCAAATTGACACGCGCGCTGACCAGAGACCGACTTATTTTTTTTTTTGGCCTTATTGTTTATTTTGTTTTGTACATTGTACCTTAATAAAAAATATTTTATTTAAATTTTATTTATTTTATTTATTGTAGGGTGATTGCTATTGTAGAATGACTTATAAATTGGTTACATTGGTTAGTGGAATTTGCCTGTGATACAAAGAAGCTAAAGAATAAACATTTATACACAGCAATCGACATCTCATTGACTCACTGACTAAACATTTGTTAGGCACCAAGCAAACTTCTACATTGTTTTGTTTTTTCTTTTTTCCGCTGCGCTTGTGTGATGTTATGACACATTAAATTAAATGCACGTTGTGGTGTGGTATACGATGTGTAGTAGTATTGAGCAGTTCCCTGGTTCTACCTGTTCCCAATATGAGAATCAGAACCGCGAGTCAAATCTTCTCAAGAACTGGGTACCCGCTAAGGCTTGGTTCCAGCTCCAAAAGAATCCGTTCCAGAAGAAATTGCCCATTCTCTGTGCACAAAGCCCAGAGCCGAGAGGATTTCAATCGCGTAAACGCCCGGGACATTCACTCTGGCTAGTCGAAACAATGGCGGGGAAAACCACACTGACTTACACACGTTATATGGAGAGTCGGAGACAAACCGATCAGCTGAGCCCTTTAATTGCGGCCACGAGGCATAGAGCACTGAACCCGATACTGGCCCTGTACCATGGATAATGAATGTACTGAATGACCCCATTACTCTGGGTATGGGGCATGGCTAGACTGATGTGGACTCGTCCTTGATGATCTTCACGATGTGCATCAGAACGAACCGAGCCAAAGTGCTCAGGATTTATTGATGTTCAAGCAAGCCTGGTAGATCCGTGATTCATTCAGAGCCGGGTATTTTGTACCTGTACCCGGGCCCATCAGAGCCGGTTCCCACACTCAGCGCTGGTTCCAAGTATGCCCACAGTATAGTGGAGATTCAGTGTCACTCACATGAGTCAAGCTTGCTCAGCCCGCATGCAACGGGTCACTCATGCATGCGCGTACTGTGACATAATGCACAGTTGTGCAATGTTAATTAATGGAGCTATAAAATATTAGCTCCATGGTGCAATGGAAGACTGGGTAGTGTGCGTGTACATGTGTGCAAGGAATCATTCTATTTTACTATGTCTCATTTACTATACCATATTCATGATCTCGAGCCCAACTCTCGCTGGTCAATTCGCCATCACGTGCCAGATGTTATTTGCTGTTTACCAAGCGCGCGTGCGAGGATTCACGAACAGGGTAAATACGAATGCATAGTAGACTGTCGCACGGGTTGCAGTCTACTACACATGCGCTTTACAAAGCAATCGTGGAGCTGTCGCATGGGTGTAGTACGCACGCGCGAACATCGCCCAAACGAGCTACACGAAGAGACGGTTGCGTAAATGTTAATTTCCCGAGCTCAATGATGTCGAGCTGGAGAAAATTTATTGACAATAATGATGCCTCCTGTACAAAGAAAGTTGTCCACAAACAACTGTACAAGTTACTCTGAAGATTTTGTTGTAGGTGCATACTGCAACGGAAATAAAATTGGCAGCTGAATATGTATGAGGTATAGTAAAACAAATTAACATGGTTTATTTCGGGTGGACAGTCGGAAGTTGGTATTGGAAGTTGACAAACTAGTTCCCTCCGCTTCGCCTCGGGAACTAGTTTGTCAACTTCCAATACCTTGGGGAGCGAATATCAACTGTCCACCCTCAAACCATGTTATATTGGTATACTACATGGTTGGCGGCCGTCATGGTAAATAAAATCATAGAAAAGGAACAGAAACTCAAGTAATAACGCTAAGTTTGCTTATAATAACACAATCTCCATAGTTTCACAGGAAAAAAACACTCATTTGAAACCAATATGTAGTGAAATTAATATGTATTGCACTGAGTTGCTTTACGCGTAATTTCAAGGGCTTATTTTTTTATTGAATTTTCTGGTTCCGGTTCTCTAAACAGAACCAATTCTGGAACCGCCCAACAGGTAGTCGATTAATATTGTATTTTACAACCCAAAGAGCAGGCATGCAACTGGGAATTTAGAAAAAAACAAGGAAACTCCGAACCACATAAGACTTTGTACAGTATTTTTCAATTTGTAACGGTATTCATGAGAAGTAAAAAAAAACCAAAAAACAAGGAAATCAGCGGATCCGAGGAAAAATTCCATGCCTGAAAGAGAAAATGTCCTTTTGAAATATCCAAGTCTCACTGGATTAACAGCTGCGACATTTGAAAACTGGGCAGTTTTTCAAAGCATGAACATTACATTTACAACAATACTCACAGTCATTTAGCAAAGTACATGTACTTATTTATTGGGGTTTTCATAATTAATGTACATGTAATCAATGAGCAGAAAAACAACTGCAATCAGCAATGGAAGACCTAGACAAAATTGTAAAGAAACATTTTCTTTCTGTTCAGAAATAAAAAAAATCCTTCAATATTGATAGTCATTTAAATTGACTCAATAAATAATTGCTTAAAATCGGACAAGAATTATTAACGAGAAGATAACCACAATAAACATATAAAAGCTGTACATTAGTGTTGTGCAAACCCGACCTGAAACCTACTTTGGGTCAGGTCGGGTCGGGTCAGTTTGTCCATTTCAGTCGGGTCGGTTTTGGTTTTCCATCTGCGATTTTCGGTTTGGGTCAGGTCGGTTAAGCCATTTTGGAAAAACCAGAAATAAATCGAAAATAACCCCAAAAAGTGTAGAAATTCACACGGTGTACTATTTATTGTAGAGTCACTGTGCCCGGTACGACCAAATGGTTTGCGGTCTATCACGCACGATCTATATAACATGTAGGCCCACCAGTAGGTCCCGTTGTGAGTACCGCACGGGATGATTCAGTTACTGAGAGATGACGATTTTCACGCAACACGGCTAAGTTCAGGCACAAAAAGCAGCCACAGTTGCCCAAGCCAGATATTCTGGGGGTTTTTTGTCGGATCGGTTTGGTTTTGGGTCGGTTTTCCTTGAACTTTTGTCAGGTCGGGTCAGATTCGGTTTATATCAATAATGTTTCGGGTCGGTTTGGCCTGGTCAACCCAACCCGATGCACAACGCTACTGTACATCAATTACATGGTTATTTTCTTTTCAATTCACAAAGATGTGTGGGACCCTCAATCTTTGTTTCCAAAATTCATATTTTTCTTGAAGCATCCTTTCCGCTCTTTGTGAGTTATCATTAATATAATTAATGCCCCTCTCTTAACCCTGCGAGCTGCGAAGCAAAAAAACTGACGCCGAGTTCCCAAGGTGCTCACGCGTGAGGCAGTTTTGATTTCGGTGTCAAATACCATTCTGTGTACACAATCCTTTCTCTAATGGTCTAAATAGGTTCCCCAGCTGTCACTGGGCCAGGATGATTGATGACAATGTTTTGAGGGCACCTCAACTAGGCGGTAAAACACAAAGAGCTTTTGTTGTGCACAAGTTAATGTGCTGTTTTTGTGCACAAGTGAATGGGCTTTGGCTGGAGGCCCAACTTTCCCAGGGGCGGCTGACCCCCCAAGTGAACTCCTACAAGAAAAGCGACCATACCATCTCAAACCACAAGGAACACATGTAGTTTCAAGGGAATTGGGCGATAGCTTCATAAAAAAAGTTAAGAACCAAAAAAAGTGCCTAGCGCGTGAGCCCCTTCACAGCTCGTAGGGTTAAATGTTAAAGTGGTTCAAAAACACCTGATCTTTCTACCCGAAGAGATATGCATCAAATTGAAGGTTAAAATGAAGTAGTGGATCAGAGCAGCCGCAAGGATGCAATCCGGCCTGGAAGCCATGGCCTCAATACACAGCAAGAAGATGAGGTAGAGAGCCAGCAAGGAAACACACGGGCTGATCAGGATCTGCTGGGGATGCTTGGTACAGAGTTTCCTACGTATTAACGGTGAAACACACTGCTTGATAATTTGTGAAGAGCACAAAGGATTGCTTGAAACAAGTTTCTGTATACCAACAATATGTTATTATATTATCCCTGAAACTTAAAATGATTTACGCAAACTGCAACATTAAATGATGCGGTGCAAAGTATTTAGACTAATGCCTTGATAAATTGACTGCTCTAATTAGATAAACATTCAAATTAAGCAATCTTATTTGCTATAGAGGTACGTAGTACAGCCACAACAGAGACAGCACAGCCCAGCTTGCTGCTGAGGTCCAAGAAAAGGCCGTCTTGTATCCTGTCCGATGAGTGGGCACAACGTCACGAAATCAATATTCCTTTGCAACCGCTTTTGAGAAAACCAGTTCCTGACTTACAATAATTTCCATTGATAAGAGATGGCACTGTTAATAGATTATTTGAATTGACCAAGAAAGAAATATGTACTTTTTTGTGCTTACCACAATAACAGCAAAGCTGGTTAGATGGTCGCACAGACACCTGATGACGCCATCGGGTAGCGATTCATGCCTGCATCCCTGTGTGGACCAATCGCCACGCCCATCATTCACAGTGAAATTCCAGAACACGCACTCGGCACTACCGACCGTCTCATTCTTACTCTGCTCACCTGGAAAACAAAAAGAAAGATTTTCCTCCGTAAAAAGATCATTCAAAATGGTTTTGTCAATTTTTATGCATGCCTCAAAGAGTTTAAGAATTGAATAAACAAAAAAATGAGGTTTATTCTACAAAAGTTGATGTATGGCGACATTAACACAATGTAGAGATATAAACAATAATGTCAGTGATAATCAGAAGTTTTGGCATATTTTCAATGAATTTCTATTGCGCAGTGTTTTTGGAGAGAATGTTGCAACCTGACGCCACTTCAGCGGTTGTGTACACAGTTTATGGAGAGTCAAGAAAAAAAAATTGGAAATGTTTCTCAGTCCCAGATTCATGTCTTATCATAATTTTTGCAATGACTGACCTTCATTGAGATGATATATGAAGAAAAAAGCAGCGTCAGGTTGCAACATTCTTTCCGTGTTTTTCCCTTAATGTTGAAGATAATCGGTGCATTCTAATTAAGAAGTAGGTTTTCGGAACAATTGTTTAAATCTTAATAATCAATAATGATTTGGATGCGTACTAATTACATGTGGATGCATTTTCCAAGCAGTTAAGACGACAGCAATGTCACCAACAATGGTGTAGCCTATTTTTAACATACATGTAAAAACCAGAATCCACCATGGACCTCAGTTGTTGTGTATCTACATTTAATAAGATGCATTCACAGGTGTTTTTACACACGAGCTTCTCTCCAGCTTGGACCTAATATCTGGCTTCAAGTGTGAAACCCATAATCTCCAAATATTGACTTCATACTATAGTATTCAAGGTTTCTAATGTAGAACATGACCCACATTGAGCCCAAGTTTACCAAGTCATAAGGTGTCTGGTATAGTTGGAGACGAAGTCGAAGTTTCGACGAGCTCCTTATAAGGGCTGAAGACACTGATAACAGGCATCATAGCAGCAATGATGCGGCTACCCAACATGCCCCTGAATCCGTCCTCACGCCTACCTGCATAATTCAGTGTGGGAGACGAAACAGCCTGCTGTACGTTCTGATACAGGAAGATACTAGCTGGAACCTGATCGCCAGCGCCTGTTTGATGAGACAAAGAAAAGCTGTCTATAAAAAACCCACTGTCACGATCATTTGGCTCCTTATCACTGATCGTTCGTTTGCACAAGGTTATTGGTTGATTGGTTTTACTGAACCAGTTCAAATTCAATATTCTTGCTGTTGCAGCGTAGGGACGGGCGAGTAAATCCATTCATTGGTGTAACCGGGTAATCCTACAGCTCTGCCCGGTCCACTAGCGACCGTCAGTGAGTCAATATGTCTGTCAGTCAGTGTGATGTGTGCGAGGGTGACTACAGCCTGGACCTTTTGGGACCATGGCAAAGGTGCTTGGTTACCTCCAGGGATAAGTCCCAGGATTTTAGGAGGCAGAAAAATTGATGTTTCTGCTTTAACTGTGGATCCTCTTGGGTGCTGAACACTGAAATCCAATTCTCGTTTAAGTCGTCATCCGTTTGAGAGTCGGGCGTGTGGATGCGAAGCTGAGATCGCTGGAGAGAGAGAGACCTCGGGGGTAACGAGACTGCAGTTTATGGCCCCAAAGAGCTGCCTTGCGTTGATAAACATCGTCGGTCTCATCAAAGGTGGCTTCCTCATCGATTTGTAGGATGTTGTTAACAATCACAAAGAAGCCTGCATTGACCTACAATGTACCAAACACAAATATATTTTCGAAACACCTTTGAAGTTCCTTGAACACCTCTCAATTTCCTTGACCATTTTCCTTTCAGTAAGAGATGTCATGAAGTCTCGTTAGTGGCAATCATGCATGTAAGCTTCTTTTCTGTTTTATATTTCAAATGTGTGCAGCTGCTAACAAGCAAGATTTATTGACCAGGCATCATTAAAGTGTGTCATAATGATAATTTAAAGGAAATGTACAACATTTGCTTTTGCTGCAATTTTCCGACATAAATGGATTTGGAGGATTAGTATGTTTAATAACAAATATTGTTAAACTGACTTGTTTCAATTTTTGGGCTTGTAGATGCTGGAAAAACCAAGAAAACCAACTACGTTCTTGTAGTCTAGTTCCCTGACCCCACTTAAGATGAAACAGAGCAGTCTACTTCACTCTACTTACCTGTAGAGCAATACTACTTATGCATATTCCCCCTACCGGCAGGTATTTTCCGCTGAGAGTTATATACAATAGCGCCCTCTGGCGCCCTACCCATAATACCCCGCGGCATGCGTGCCTCGTGAGCGTCCTCTTTTCTCTTAGCGGCAGGTCGGGTAGGACATGCGTGAAATAGCTCGCTGTTTGCCTCGTCATTTACTACCCTTTTTTGCGTTTAAGAGAAGTATTTAATAAAAGAGTTAGTAATCATTAGTTTGTAGAGTTTCATCATCTTCTTGGTTTCATTTATTTCATAAATATGAAGTGTTTGGGGAGGGCCGATCTGTCACTAACCGGAAGGGATAGTTCTCCCACGGGACGGACCGAGTTCTCAAGGGACTCTGCCGTTAACGCTCCGACGTTACCGCGGCAGCAGTCTCTCGTCCGGCACCCTCAACCACAGTCGGCTGGGGGAGTTGGCAGTTCCGCCGATCAGTTAAGGGGACCTCGGTCACCTTCTCCGGTCAACTCGGACGGAACACCCAAACTAAAGGCACACTCCGGCAAGGTTCCCCTAAAACATATCTCCTGTGCCGGAGCAAAGCCCAAGAAGGGCCGTCAGGGCAAGCGTGGCTCGGCAACGAGCGCCGCTTTGGGAACCTAGCCCTCCCCCGATCACGGGGCAGCCCGAGGGGACTAGCCGTCACACTTCGGTGGGCTCTAGTCACCCGTGCCCTCCCGACACAGTGCCGAACACCACTGGTTGTCAGGATGGGCTATTGCACGGGCTACCGGTCCGTCCAGCGCTCAGCCCACGGGGCCTGAGGCGCTGTCGGCCGGGTGCATTATGAGCGATACGGAGCCGGTCGCCCCGGGGGATCCCGGGCCGACGGCCCCCGTGCTAGCTCGCTCAGAGGGACTACTCTCGTCATCGGATTTTTTCCGTTGTTCGGGGGTCCCGGTGCCCCAGGTGTCTTCCGATTTTTCCTCGGACACACCTCGGGGCCGTTCTTCTAAAAAGAAGAATAAGAAGAAGAAGGCTGACGACTCCTCTGACCGGTCCCGCCGGGGCAAACGCTCCCGGGGGGAGGACGCGGTTTCTAGAGTAGATTTCCTGCTGGCTTTTCAGTCAATTTCCGATACGCTATCGGCTATGTCGGCAGGCCGCCGGGCGGGCCCTATTGGGGGCCCCCCTGCAGCGGTGGACTACGGCCCACAGCCATCGGTCGTTGGGCCTGCATCACAGTCTTCAGTCACCGGTCACGCTTGTGTGGCCCGGGAACAGAGGGACATACCGCACACAATTAGTCGTGCTCCGGCGTCCCCGCCTGCGGTGAGGGCTTCACAGTCGTCGTGCGTTGGTCATGGTTGGGTGGCCCAAGCACAGCGGGACATATCGCACGTGGTTGACCGTACACCGGAGGCCCGGCCTGCAGCGAGCGTCTCGCATGCATCGGCCGTGGGCCACAGTTGGGTGGATCAGAGGCCGCGGGACCTACCGCGTACGCTGGGATCCCCGCCTGTATTGAGTATTCATCCATCTATGCAGTTTGACTCGGAGGAAGTTGTCCAGCCACTACCGCGTGGTTCGGTACAACTCGCCCCTCCAGACGGCGTTCGTTCACCGGAGTCAACTCGGCCCTCACAATCGGCTGAGTCATCCGATGACGACGAGGAACCAGACCGTTTACAGCGGCTGTCTATCTCTGATACGGAGCTCCGTTTAGTACAGAGGGATATGATAAGAGTACTTCATTTACCCTCTGCTGATGAGCCCCCTCCGCCCGATCATAAATCTTTCAAGCGAAGGATGGGCTCCGCATCTAGCAGCGATAAGATATTCCCCGTACTTCCTTTAGATCAAGTATGCGTGGAACGTATCGACAGCATCATGTCAACTGATAAATGGCAGCCGTTTCTCAGTCGGGAACGGGATTATATTCGTTTCCCGGCTGAAGATCATGTGAAGTTCTTCACTCCGCCTGGCATCCCCGACACCGCAAAAGATAAACTTGCTGCCGATGAGAGTGGTTCGTCTTCCAAGCGGCCCTTTGTGGACAAAACATGGGGTAAACTTGAAGATGTTTTGAAGAAGATGGACGCAGCTTCACGCTTCTGTTTGAAATCAGCGTCTTTCTTACTTCTTCTCACGGAATATTTGGCCGTGGGCTATGAAGAGGATTCGCCGATTCCAGCAGATATGCTGACTGCGGCCCTTCATTGCCTCGACCATGGTCTACGCTCAGTGCTTGATCAATTTAACGCGTGTCGACCCTATCAACGTCCACCCGCCGGGGTAACGTGCTCGATGCACTTTTCCTCCCGTCGCAGGGTGCTCGCAAAAGACTTGAAGATCTCCCCTTGACAGGCCCGGATCTATTTGCCGGTAAATTCGAAGATCAGATGCGAGATGAGGCCAAACGTCTGAAGGCTATGGAGAAAATCAACTTCAAGAAGCCTCCAGCACCGGCGCCCAAACAACAGCGGGGTAAGGGCAAAACATTTGTCATTCCCCGCCGCAAACCTCTGAAATCTGGTCGCGGTGGTTTTCGTGGCCGCACGGACAATACTTCCGGTGCGCGCGCCACGCAGGCCCGCACGTTCTCTGGACAACAACGGCTCCAATCCGGTCGTGGTTTCCAGGCACTGGCCACCCGCTATCCCGGGGGCTGGCGCAAGTGACTTAGTAGACTCGTGGCGGCCTCCCGCCGTCGGACCCGTGGGAGGCCGTCTCTGAGACTTTGCGGGGTCCTGGGGTTTAATTACGTCCGACCGGTGGGTGCTAGACACGATCGGGTGCGGCTACGCACTCGAGTTCTCGAGCACCCCCCCGTCAGACATGATCGTTCGACCGACGGTAGTTCCGTCCGATCCTACCAAACGTCTCTCCCTCGAAGGGGAGATCAGTTCCCTCCTCGGGAAACGGGCAATTCGCCCGCTCCCTCCGGGGGAGACACGGTCGGGCTTCATGTCGACCTTCTTCCTGGTACCCAAGAAGGAGGCCGGCATGTGGCGCCCGATTTTAAATCTAAAACCCCTCAACAAATTTATTCGGCCAAGACGTTTTCGCATGGATACGCTCAACATCATACTCCAATCGATTCGTACTCCTGCGTGGGGAGCCAGTCTAGATCTGAAAGATGCGTATCTACACATTCCTGTCAGACCAGACCACTGGAAGTTTCTTCGTTTTCAGTACGAGAACGTCCAGTACGAGTTCATGGTTCTTCCGTTTGGTCTAGCCACCTCACCCCGGGTCTTCACGTGTGTGGTGAAGACAATCGGGGCCGCATTAAGAAAACAAGGTGTGATGATCTTCATGTATCTGGACGATTGGATCATTATTGCTCAATCTCAGACGGCCGCATCGGCGGCACTCAATCTGACTTGGCGTCTAGCGGCCGATCTCGGGTTTATTATCAACGCCGAGAAATCCCATCCACATCCATCCCAATTCCCAATCTTTCTGGGAGCGTCGCTCGATCTCCAGAAGGGATTGGTTCGTCCTACGGAGGAACGAATTGTAAATCTCCAACAGTGTGTGTCTCTGTTTCTCCCGACGACCATGGCCCCAGCGCAAGCCTGGCTAAGGTTGCTCGGTCTTATGGCCAGTATGGTAGATGTGGTGAACTTTTGCAGACTAAGGATGCGTCCCATCCAATTACATCTGCTGTCCTTCTATCGGCCCAGTCGTCACCAAATACGTCATCTGGTGCCGACCACACCTTGGCTAATACCGCACCTCCGTTGGTGGCTCGACAATGCCAATCTCACGGAGGGGCGCGCGTTTCACAATCCCAAGCCGTCAGTGACCATCACGACAGACACGTCACTATTTGGCTGGGGGGCCACCCTCCACCCGCGCCAAGTAGCGGGTCGGTGGGGGCCCGAAGAGTGCTCGAAGCACATAAATGTGCTGGAGATGTTGGCAGTCATCAATGCTCTCCAACGTTTTCAAGCATCAGTGACAAACCAGGTAGTCAACATTCGATGCGACAATGCCACAGTAGTGGCCTACATCAATCGACAAGGAGGCACGCGATCCGCCCAACTATGCGCGCTCACGTAGAATCTCTTCCATTGGTGTATGAGCCACAGAGTATCACTCGTGGCAACTCATCTCCCAGGCGAGGAGAACGTCACAGCCGACGCTCTCTCCAGGGGGTGAGTCGTTCCGACGGAATGGACACTGCGTCCGCAGGTTGTCCAGTCACTCTTCCTACTGATCGATCGACCTCATGTCGACCTGTTCGCCTCTCGGAAAAACCACCAGTTACCGGTATACTGCGCAAGACACAACGACCCTTGCGCTTGGCAGACAGATGCGCTGGCGATACGGTGGGACAGGCTTCTGGCATATGCCTTTCCCCCGTTCTCCCTCATACCTTGAGTACTGGCCAAAGTGGAACAGGAGGACTGCAAGATCCTCCTCATAGCTCCTTTTTGGCCACGCCAGCCGTGGTTCCCGAGACTCACCAAGCTCTTGGTTCACCGCCCGGTGATTCTTCCGCAGAGGGCGGACATACTGTTCCAGCCCAGCTCGGGTTTTCTTCACCCGGCCCCGGAGGATCTCCACCTGACGTGCTGGGTATTATCACGCAATCCCTCCGCACGGCGGGCCTTTCTGAACGAGCTGCGGCCATTGCAGCCTGCAGCCGACGGGAATCTACCAGGAAAGTTTACAACAGTAGATTACACCATTTTTACAAATGGTGTAGAGCCAGGTCTCTGCGTCCCTCCGATACTTCTATAGGAGAGGTTGCAGACTTCCTGGTAGGCCTCTTTGAAAGTGATCTTGCTACAGCCACAGTTAAAAATTATCGGT